CACACACACACACACATACACACACACCCACGCAAGCAATGCTGGCATTCATACAATACATTCGTTCGTTCAATTCAACAACGAAAATTTTGTAATTTGCCTTTGACATGCAAACTCGAAACCGTCGTCGCCAACGTCAAAAACTTTTCTAGCCATCCTAGATGGGGGGAAAAATCCTATAAAATTGTGCAGTCTGGTTGACGTTCGCTCGCAATTATGAATATATTATACAACATGATTTTTAACTCTTTCTATTTAAAGCAAACAAATATTTTGAAAGTTCGAAGGACCTTGCTCCCTATAGGACTTATGTAGAAGGTAGGTTATATGACAATTCTACATGCAACGTATGCTTCTATATTTTGCAAATAACTAACTAATCAGTTTTTAAAATATATATGACTTTGCAGAAAAATAAATTCTTTAAGCCAGTGAGGATAGAAATAGCGATGAATGGCTCAGCTTTTAAAATATTTTTCTGGTATACTATACTTTAAAAGCACCTCAAAATATAAGCAAACTCTTAGACGTATGTAGGATTTGGCTTTTATGTTAATTAAGTATCTTAAATTGTATATAATATTCTAAATATTAAAGTATTTCACAGCAAAAAAGTAATTTGCAATATTTTTTGTAACTCAAAATTTAGTAAAATTGTTAGTTGGAACACAGCAATTGTGTCTAATAAGTTTCTAATATAGCTGAAAATTTATGGAAATTATGGAAATTAATAAAGAGTCTATGAATTATTTTTGTAGACCTTTATTATACGAAAAGTGTCCATTAATTGACAGCAGAAAAATCTGTAGACTTTACTTTCGATTTTATAAAGAATGCCAATATTTCCAACAATTATTTAAAAAACTCCCAGATGCAGATTTTGTATATTTTATAGCTATATCATTAATATTAATAATTTTTGTAGGCCTTTATTATAGGAAAAGTGTCCATTAATTGACAGCAGAAAAATCTATAAACTTTACTTTCGATTTTATAAAAAATGCTAATATTTCCAACAATTATTTAAAAAACACTTTGATGAAGATTTTGTATATTTTATTACTATATCTTTAGTATTGATCATTTTTGTAGGCCTTTATTATAGGAAAAGTGTCCATTAATTGACAGCAGAAAAATCTATAGACTTTACTTTCGATTTTATAAAAAATGCCAATATTTCCAACAATTATTTAAAAAACTCTTTGATGCAGATTTTGTATATTTGATAACTATATCATTAATATTAATAATTTTTGTAGGCCTTTATTATAGGAAAAGTGTCCATTAATTGACAGCAGAAAAATCTAGACTTTATTTTCGGTTTAAAAAAAATGTCAATATTACCAACAATTATTTAAAAAACTCTTTTAATAGCTATATCTTTAATATTTATTTAAATCTAACCAGTATTAAGTCTTAAGAGAAACAACATACTATAGAATCCATTCGAAATAGTTTTCTTTAATTCGTACAAATTGAAGTTGACTTCAAATTTGTTCAAAGGACATGTCTGTGGCACATTTGGAGGGGGAATATGGGAATGTTAACATTTTTGCTGCACAGTGTCATTTGTTGTGGCACATACTCGCACACGCAACACACACACTGAGTGGCAAATGCAAAGTCGAGCCCAACTCGGAAACTAGAAAACAAACAAGTGGAATGGCAATTGGAAAACTTTGTTGTTGCTGCTACTGCTGTTCCTTTAAATTAATCTGTAATTAAAATGTAAAAATGCTGAAATTATTGCTTGCCACATTGGCAGGCGATGTGTGTGCACTTTGTTGGGCTGCCAATAATGGGCAGCAAAATTACAATAATGAGAGCTACAATTGGTTGCTAGGGTTCATTAGCACTGATAAGCGGTTCGCATGCCCAGTGGGGATTATGCAACAGCTCCGAGCGATAGTCGAGTACTTTGCATTGCCCCTGACTAGTCATGCAGGGGTCGTTTACACTAACCACTGTGACCACTGACTTATCGCTTTGTTCGTAGTACTAATCTGGTAATGCCGTTGGGGACCCAATAAATGCTCCTTGTTCACAATTTCTTAATAGCCTTATAAGCCGTTAATAGCAGCGTAATATTAGTATGGGATTTGTGGCTGTTTAAACGGACTTTGAACTGGCTAAGTGCTGCTTACTTGGCCATTGGACTTGACCATTTTATGGTCCCAAGCTGATAAGACAAGACCCATAAGGGCATTGAGCCCATCCCCAGCTGTCAACATCACTTAGTTGCAAACAAATTCTCATCTCTAAACTGCCCAGCCAAGCAAATCTGGGGCCCAGACTCACAGCCAGACAGCAAGTCAGGGCATGCGGCACGTGTGAGCCAACATGTAAGCAATTTTATTCATTCCAATTGGCATGATTGATTACTCAACAAATACTTGAGAACGGAAGTTGAATGATGGTGAAGTGCCTGCAGATACAGAGACAAAAATATTTTGTATATTTCCATTTCACAATTGCTCATCAATAGCTAATTAAATTTCTGTGCCAATTGGTCATCGTGTTCGATGACGCCTTAAAGTTTACAATTTTAGCCGAATGCTGATTAAAGGCCTGGTTGGTTCGAAGTCATTTCTGGAGCTACTATCTCTGTCACAGTTACAAGAACTTGGTCATCCAGTTGCCTGATAAGCCAAATTGTCTCAGCGATGACGCATGTTTAGCAAATCGCATTGAACTGGATTCAAATGAAATATTTAATGTGCACTAATGCGGCAAATGAAACAAATAAAATAAGAATACGAAAACACACACACACAGAGCGAATGAATGTGAAAATCGTGCGAAATTAATTATGCATTATTATTGAAATATCACTGAGCCCCCTGCCCTGCACTGCCCTGCCTTCCCAGCCCAGGCCAGTCCGATTAAATGGCGCAGTTTGTCGCAGGGCAGTAAAGCGAGTTCGATAAGACCAAGGACCGTAAAAGGTTTAACGACACATTTTACATTTCCAGTACTACGTTACGAATAATGATATAATATAAAAATCTTTTAATATCTTTCCTTTCGTTACGTGATATAAAAACCTGTTGTGCTCAACTTTCAGCTCAAAATGAAATAAACACTAATTGCATTTGGAAGGAGAGCGCAATACAAAGCGCTGCAAAAAATAATTCCCTAGTGGATGTAAATAAGTAAAAATTAGCATTCTAACCAGATATTTGGTTATCAGGTAACTTATGCTCCAGATATCATCTCAAGAAAACGAATAAAGGCAGACAAAGGCTTGACTTGTTAATCCCCCCCTCTGTGTAGTTAAGAACACATTCAACATGATAAACAAATATTGGGGGTAACTCGAGTTTAAAAAATCACCTTGAGAAAATGAATACTGCGGGTATATACTATAGACAAAGGGTTATACTTAAGAAATGCATTTTCTTGTCATCAGATCGAATAAGACATACGAAATTTCCTACAAAAATTAATATACAAGTACATTTAATATTTTAATATTTTTTGAAATGCTTTTAAATCGACAAGTAATGGGGAAATTGATGTTAGGAAAAAATTCCAAAAAATTCTGGAAATTACTTTTTGGTATTTTTTGTTTTGATACAATTGTTTGCTTAAAAGATGAGACATGTAATATTCTTGAAGTTTCTATTGTACTAGAAGAACAAATAGTTATTTACGAAATCACGTTGAGCTCTTTTTTCTTGCGTAATTCGGAATGACAGTGGATTCAATTCAATCATATTTCAAACTGTACGTAATAATTGTTTAACTGATAACAGAGTTAGCAGAAATTGTGATGTAGAATTGAAGTAAGAAATGATAATAAATGAAGAGAAATAGTTAGTTATAGATGTATAATATCATCTTCTAGCTCCAGAGTATTTTTTTAAATAAAATTTGTACTCGAGCACATCTCTTGTTTTTGTACGAATATAAATCGGAAATAAATATCGTCATAAATATCTATCAATCGAGTAGGCTGGATGGTGATGCTGGTGTTAAATATCTCGACTTAACCTTTTATCCCATAAAACAAGAAACCATTTACTCGTATATGCAGAACAAGGCATATCGTCATCTCTTGTTTGGGGCGTTGATTAGATAAAGGAATACGAAAGAACCAAAACAAGAAAAACAACCTGAAAGTGAAGTATTTTGTCTACACGGCACATTTGAAAGGCCTAGTTGGCAAATAGAACGCTAGTTGGGAAGACTTAGCTCCATATTTGCGCCTAGTTCTCTACTTTTATTGGACTTGATAAGAAAGTTGGAAACGGCGCATATTTACAATACCATTAATGTATGTAAGCGTTCTGTACTCTAGACTCCCCCTTTCTGGGTAAGTGTGTGTGTGTATCTTTGATAAGTTTTTCGCTGATTAGATTGCACACACATCGGAGACGTGGAAACACAAATAGGCTTAAGACTTAATTACGCGAACAAACAAGACCAACAATTGTCAAATATTATAAGGTGAGGTAAAATGTGTGGGGGCGAGGTAGGGTGTGCTTTAGGTAACAATTGTTGCGGTGGTGATGCATTTCAACAGAAGCAACACCTTTAGCTTGAAGTGTTTTCATTAAGCGTCTCGAGTACCACTTGGACATTGAACCTCAAAGTCGCAGCATGAGTTTTAAAACTGGCGCTGCTGATAAAATATTTGTCGTTGGATCTCTTCAGTTATTTCGCATTTCGCATTTACGCATAAGAGCACCTTCAGGGGGTCCGACCAAGTCCAGGTCAAGACACCCGGTGTGCTCAATGCCTTGTTGACAAGGGCATCGATTGCTATTTGGTATGCGAGAATAACAAACAAATGACAACAACAAAAAAAGTGAACAAATCAAAAACATTTCACTATTACTACAAGTATATATAGTACATGGGTGCGATAAGAGTTGGAAACTATGTTCGTATACAATTTATGCGTTGATTATAAAGTGATGGGCGTGTAACTATTGCCTGATAAGCTCACATTGTAATGTCACCTTTATAAAAATGAATATGCAAGGATTGGGACTCACCTTCTCGAGGCACTCCTGGCCTATGGCTTTTGGGTCCCATTTGACCGCCTGCTGCGTACCGTTCGGCAAATTGACAATGCACCACATTTTTCCTGATTGTTGTTGTTGTTGTAGTTGTTTCGGTGAATGGGGATTGGTGAAAAGACTTTGTATTCTGTAAACAATATTCGCTGCTGTTGTTGTTGGTGTTGTCGCTTGTTTTCCAACTAATGGCAACGCGTTGGTCGTGGCATGGATTTTGGTCAGCTCCAGTCGCTTCCGCGTAACTCGCGCGCGACGTTGAAAGCAAAATTCGAATCCAAGTAACGGCCCGTCACTACGACTTGTTGTTGTTGTAGTTGCTGTACTGGCGCTCCAGCTTGAGCTACAGGTTGCGCAGTTTTTAGCTGCCTAGCTCCGCTTTATTTATCGAGTTTGTTTTTACTGCAAGTTTTGGTTGTTGTTTTTGATTCGCGGACCAAATTCAATTAGTTTTGGTATTTTGTTGTTTTCACTTAACTGTGCTGAGCGTACTTTGTATGTATTTACTGCAATTGTATCTGTGAGATACTTGAGTCTGATAAACAGAATATATGTGTTTTACACTTTTTGTTTTCTCTATACTATACACACGGGAAATAAAAATGCCGACTCACTTTTGATTTTTGTTTGGGTTGTATTTTCAAATTAAAATTTTTGTATTGTATCTGTTGCTTCACTGTTTTTTCGGTTTTTGTTCCTTGCCGTTGTTATGTTGGGATTTGGCTCGGGCATATGTACAGACCATGTGCCGTCGATTTAGCTATTTTTGTTATTGAATGCGCACGAATGCCAGACGTTGTCGAGCAGCAATTTCATCTGCCGTCCGTCCAACGCAAAGTTCACGAAACGATTGAATTCTAGCTCGTCTCCCATAGCGTTGAAGACTCGACTAGCGCACGAATGTACAACGACGTACCAATGACGTAGTTTCTCTTAAACTGTGCGCTCTCTCGTTTCTCTTAGTTGCCGACCTACCATACTTATATACATCAGTGATGCCAACTTTGCCAAATTCCCGCCAATTCCCAGTTGTTTCAAATGCCGATGGCCGGAGAAATTTTAAAACATCACCCGGTGGGAGTTATAGCTTTTTTTGATGTTTAAAGTTCAGAAGCCAACTTTTGTTTTGTTTTTGCAGTCATTGAAAACCTTTTTGTTTATGAACATATTGATCGCAAATTTGAAATCGTAATTATAATTAAAACAGACTTCAGCTACACCAATGAAACGAAAACTCTCTCACTTGCTTAGCAGTATTTTACTTTTTGTTAGCTATTTCTGGCTATTTTCAATTTTTATTTTGACACTCATGAACCGACAACACTGTTACGTACGTACATACATACATACATTTGTTTCTGTGGTATACGTTATGGCGACCGCTCTGTAACGTAAAGAGCCACACGTTTTGGCATTTCAACAGCCTGTGATTCACTCACACGCTTTGCTTTGCTTTGCGTTTCTTTTCCCCACTGTTGCGTCTGGCAGCTGTTCGCAATGTCGTTCCGCTAAAGCACCCACCCGCACCCTCTCCCGCTCGAACTCCTTCCACACAACATTACCTTACACATGCACAGCTGTTATTCGCTCTAATTGTTGTCGGATTTTTCACTCCATTGCAGCTGAATGTGCGCGCCAAAGCCTTGTCCATGCACAGGTAAACGATTCAACTGTTGAATTAACAGCGTTCCGATTAATGCGCATGCGCAGCTGCATCTGCAGCTGATCTGATCCTCAGCTCCGACCGCTTCCGACCTGCACAATCGGGGAACAAAAGAGCCGCAACGGAACATTATTTTTCTCATCCCCGCTTCATAGATGAATGAGCGGTGTGATGTTAAATGAGTTAACAATCCTTATAACAAGTTCGTATGCAAAGTAAGGATAGTTAGAATTAACTAATACATAAGTACGTATGTACATACATACATATGTATGTGGTTTCCTAACCAAAACCACTCCAAGTACAAATAGCTTTATTTAAAGACTTCATTAATTATTTAATAAATTAATTGTTGCGGTGGATGTAGCAAATCTCAACTGCTGACGATTGCGTGATTATTTTAATGTACAAGTAGATGAAGTAAGAAGTTTCACTTCAAAAGAACTTCTTCAGTTCGCTCCAAACTTTTTCAGCCAAATTAATAATGGAAGATATGGATAATATCATTCCCTTTAAACAATATACTTCCTGTGGATATTTACATACATTCTTGTTAGTAAGTGTGTATGTTCGCATATACAGCAAGGGTTTGGTGAACAATATTGTTTGTTTTAAGGCACATCTATTTGTCATATAAAACATGACTATTTAGGCAGTCAAATAATCTGTTGACTTTTTCAATAAATGTGGCTGTTGCTTCTGCAGTCTCTATGCAATATGTAAATGCTCCACAATTTATCATTGTGCGGAGTGCAGCACTTTTGGAAAAAATACACTTATAAATAGTATATGGTTCGGTTGGACCTGAATAAAGCACTGGTGGCCAGATTTTTGAAGAATCATATGGAATCATATGTGTAGACAGGGGGGAGTGAAGGCGTTGCCCTCCTACAAAAGATTTCGCCATATGAAATCGACCAAACATTCATTATTATGACACACTATTTCGTCTTAAAATGGAACTAAGTTTGATTTCTGGAAATTTTTCTATTAATCATATGTAAGGCGGCCAACCGTCCCGCATTGTGCGGGACAGTCCCGCATTGACAGGTGTTGTCCCGCATTGAAAAATCGAATAAAATAGTCCCGAAAAACCTAAAACGCGTCCCGCATGTCCCGCATTACGCATATGATTCATATGCATCACTTATTATTTTAACGCATCGTGCATTACTTGTATTAAATCAAAATTTAAATTCTTTGGCCCCAACCCCCTTTGGAAAAAGCTGCCTACGCCTGTGTCTGACAGTAATTTGTTGATAAAATTATTCAATGGTCGTTTTAAGTAATAAGACCTGTTTTACGAACATTTCTATATTTATAAAGTGTCAATTGGGTGCATCAAATAGAGAACATATAGTCATATATACTCGTAAATCGTATTTGTGTTGATCCAGCTATCAGTTCCTATAGAGGAGGGAAGAAAAGTATACCTACCCCCTTTGTTTCTATTTTCCAATAATTGGGTGCAAGCCAGCCCTATTAACATAATTTTATTTGAAATCCCATTAAAACGACAGATGTCTGTTCTATACCATGACTATACTATACTTTTTCCCCATTTCTATCACAGCTCAATTCTATTTTCTTTTTTTTTTCAACATTCTGCTTTTTAACATTTTTTTCAGGTCATGCCATTATGCATGTGCCAACCGATTACCGATGGTCATTGCTGACGTAACCGTAATCGGGGCTAGGCTGCCCACATAATTATACATATATATACATATACTTGTATATATATAGTATGTAAGTAGGCATGTAAATGTGACTACGAGACGACTTTCACCTTCTACAACGCATTGACAACAAAAGACCTTGTTTATCTATGCACATTCTCCATAGGGGTTTTAAAAATCAATATAATTCTAACGACTGAACGTCTTTACTTATAGGAAAACAATTCTGAATTGAAATGAAACATTTTTTCGATAAATGCTCTATAGGGTTTTTGAAAATCAATATTACAGTAACGACCTCGATGGGGAAATTAGTTCCACTTTCAAAGTTAATTCAATTTACCACGGGATGCAAGCCTACAATCTATTAAAACTTTTAATATTGAGGCAGCATTACAAAATTATAATACGAGTATATTTATTTCTTAAAACTAATACAATTTTTAGATTAAATGTAGTCGCTCGCATATTTCACCCCGGCCTCAATATTTTTGATTAGAACTGGTACTAGACTATTGACAGCATCCCTCTCCTCATCATCCAACTCGGGCATTGCTAAATTCTTTTTAATGCCTGTCGGTCCGAGCAGGAGGGGTGTTGCAAAAAATTCAGCATCTGAGACCTGCGATTGGACGTAAGCACATTCGATAATATCTTCCTCGCCACTTAAAGCACGCAGCAAGGAGTCGACAAATCCCGCAGCCGCATAGGCCATCGAAAGGGTTGCTGAGCCCAAGCCAGCCTTCGCCTTAACCACTTCAGTGCCAGCTTCTTGGATGCGATGCGTCAGCTCTTTTCTGGTCTGATCATCGCCGTCAAAACCGGGTGAGCATTGAGAAAAAATTGGTAGTATGGTTGTGCCCGCATGGCCACCGATCACTGGGATCCTAACGCTCTCTACCTCGACACCCATGCTCTCGGCAATAAAGGTCTTGGCTCGCACTATGTCCAGGGCGGTCACGCCAAACAGTCGCTTTGGGTCATAGACCTCCTTAGATTTGAGAAACTCTGCCACAATCGGGACAATTGTGTTCACAGGATTGGTTATAAAGGCGAGCAGGGCGCCAGGGCAAGCAGCGCTGATGGCCAGAGCGACTTTGGCCGCCACACTGGCGTTGGCGTCGAGCAGATCGTTTCGCGTCATGCCAGGCTTTCGTGGCATACCGGCTGGCACCACAACAATGTCGGCTCCTTTTAGCGCCGCCTCCAATTTGTCCGCTCCATTGTAGGGCTTAACAGTGGCGCGCGTACAAATGTGTGAGAGATCGGCACCCACACCCATTGTGTTTGCAACATCGTGAATGGCGAGCGTTTCGATGAGCGGATTCATCTTAAGAAGCAACGAAAGAGGTTGTCCGATGCCGCCACTAGCTCCCACAACAGCCACCTTAAGATTCCTTGTGCTGACGTTTGTCCGAGGCGCTGTGCGTCCTTCATGTTGCAGCTTCAGCCTCGAAAATGTCATCCCCAACTTGGATGAGAGCATGCCGGGGTAGAGTTAGAGTGTATTGCGAATCTTCCTTTGGATTGAAAACATTAAAATTTTGATAACGCTTGCTAGAAATGATAACCATGAGAATTTTCTAGAATTTGACAAGTTTCGAATAGAGTGTTTTTAGAGTCGTATTTGAACTGAAAAGATCAAATTAAAATTTCAAATTTCAGATACCCTTCGTAAGCTGCTTGGCCTTTATAGATGCTGCTACTTAAAGTTATGCGGGTCCATTTCATTTTCAATTCTAGCCCTTTATACAATTAATATTCATTTAATATTGAACAAATCCAATGCTACCTTATAATTTAATAACTGTCGTCCTTAGGACAGAACTTAAGTAAAGGATAAAGATTTATAAAAAAAAAGCATCCCATAATAAAAAAACAAAAAAGTACAATAATATTAAAACGAAAAAGAGCAAATTTAAAACAATTATGCCGTTATGACCTCGAGTCATGCACGCTGGTAGAAAACCATTTGTTGAAATCAAAAATATATACATAAAACTGAAATTCAAATAAAATCAACAAAAATTTATTTTGAAAATTAAAAAAGAAATTAAAAAACAACGTTGGAAATTAAAGTAAAGACAAGAAGGTCTTCTCTGCTGAGCAGCCAAATGAAAACTGAACGAGTTTCATCCCAACGCAAAACATGAAAACGATTTGACAGATAAATCAAATTTGTGCCGTCTAGTATTGACAAAATGTGGAAAAAGTATTGCTACGCAGCACTAAGAAACTAACCTAGAAGCATGCTACTGCATTGAGAACAAGAAAGAACGCCACAGTCGAACGAGCCCGACAGTTTAATACCCTGTACCCAGACAAATTTTCCGGGACTGCGTTAGATGCGCCCATACAGAAGCAAAAAGAAGAAGAAGCGCGAACTTGATGCTGCAGCTTGTGGGCGTAGTACTGGAGTGAAATTTTTTCGCTAATAAGTTTTCTTAGAATTGTATATAGATTATGTGTGCAGTTTGGTTAATGGTTTGGCTATTGAAATGTGGACAGTATTGACAAAATTATGTAGCGGTGGGAAAGTTCCATAAAATAAAATAAACTCGTCCTTTCTCGGACCTAGGAGAATCTGGATACCAACTTTGGTTATTCCAGCTTTTATAGTTTCTGAGAAACTTGCGTTCATCCAAAAAGACAGACAGATGGACGGACATATCTAGATCGATTTCTCTCGTCATGCTGATCAAGAATATATATACTTTATGTGGTCTGCCTGTTACATACTTTGCACAAACCTAATATACCCTTTTACCCTTTGGGTACAGGGTATAAAATATATATTGGGCTATAGGTATTCCATGCATCGCCTTGTCACTCATTTGAGAGTTGTATTTCATTTCTATTGACAGTTAACTTTTGGAAAGCTCTATTTCTCTGCCTTTTGTGTATTCATAGCTTTTCAGTTCTACAAGAAATTATGCACAAATATCCACTTAATAGGCCCCGGAAAATTCTTTTTAGTTTTAGGTGGAACTAATACATAGAAGATGATATTTTCTTTCTTCGCTCATGTGTGTCTTTTTCAAACCCTTGTGAGGATAAAGCTCTAATAGCACTATTCGTTAGACTTAATAATGTCTTACCTGTACGTGTACGAGCATATCATTAAAATTCGTTGTGAAGAATAGGAATATCTATAGTAATAAGTTAACTCCATATTTTCCTGTTGAGTTCGCTAAGCGCATAAGCAAATTGAGATTTTTTATAAAGTATACTTAAAGAACAAAATAAGGTGTTCCAGGTAAACACACATCCACTGTACGATTATATATGTATTTATAAATGAACACATTTTTATAAAGATTTTAAAATATTCAATTATTTTAATAGTCCACATTTATTTGGCAACTGCTTTTTTCATTTCTTCACACAGGATGCTGGTTGCAAAGTCAATGCCTGCTTCAATACTCTGCATTAACACTGGCTTCATCTTCTCTAGAGCTTCCTCTTCGTCCTCTCTCAGGCAGGGCAGGCCGAGATTTTTTGTAATTCCCGAGGGGCCGAGCAGCAGTGCGGTCGAGAAGAAAGGCACATCTGTAACATTAGATGCCACATAGGCATACTCGATGATATTCTCATCACCATTCAGACCTCGGAGGAGGGAATTAACAAAGTACGCTGCAGAAAAGGCCATCGATAAGGTAGCAGATCCTTTGCCAGCCTTAGCTTTCACCACCTCTGTGCCAGCTTCCTGTATGCGATGAGTCAAAGATTTCACGTCCTCGTCGCGGCCTTGGAAGTCAGGTTTGCATTGGGAAAAGATCGGTAGAATGGTAGTCCCCGCATGTCCTCCGATCACCGGAATGTTCACATCCTGCGGATTGATGTTCATGAAGTCCGCTATAAAGGTCTTGGCCCGCACCAAGTCGAGTGTTGTAATGCCAAACAGTCGGTTTGGATCGAACGCCTTCTTCGCCTTCAGGACCTCAGATGCAATGGGCACAATGGAATTCAGGGGATTAGTTATAAAGGCGAGCAGTGCATCCGGACAAGCAGCACTAACAGCCGTGGCAACCTTTATCGCAATGCTTCCATTGGCCCCAAGCAACTGATCCCGTGTCATGCCCGGCTTGCGAGGCAATCCGGCGGACACAACAACCACCTCGGCATTACGGAGCGCATCCATCAGCTCCGTATCTCCAGCATACGATTCAACTGTAGCTTTCGTGGATACGTGAGACAAATCGGCGCCAACGCCCGCGACATTTGCCAAATCGTGTAGCGCCAATTCCCGCACGAGCGGATTCTGCTTGATGAGCAAGGACAATGGCTGTCCTATGCCGCCACTAGCCCCCACTACAGTCACCTTGTAGTTACGTACGCTATTTTGGAACCCCAAGAGAGCCAAGTTCGGTTGCCGCCTTTGGAGCAGCTTCGTCCAATTAAAGGCAAAGCTCAGCATCTTCAAGTCTGATCTCTAGATCGAATAATAACGAAACCTAATGCTTGTAATCTTTTCAACTACCATCTGCACATACCGGAATCTGAATTTCAAATATATAGATACTTGATGACCAAATGATACTCAATTCTAATTTCAAAGACTAACTACAAGTGTAAATGACATTAGCAGCAATGTCAACTATAGAGCGATGAATCGATTGCAGCTAAGGTCACACTGGCAGCAAATTTTGTTCAGAATGTGGTCACTCTTTTTATAACTTTATTAATTTATTTATATTGATTTATTATTTCGAGCAATGTAGTGTTTCAGTCTTAAATCCATAAATATCTATCCCGTAACTGTGCTTCGATAGCCACTTAAATTAGAAATACAAGTATGTATATCTTTAATCTTTATATGTTTAAAATAGTTTAGTCAAGTATTCAAAAAAAGATGAGGCAACACCTCGCGTTTTGTAGAAGTTTTTCAAAGCGCCGCACAAGCAGACAAAATTACGAAAAAAGGAAAGCCAGTTTGCGATTTGGAAAAAAAAATCCTATATATTTTTTATTATATTTAATGTCGGGTATTACACTTTATTATATGCATCTATTAAATACAAGCCTACATGAAATGAAATATTAAAAGGTTTCCTAGCGTTTACAATTTATAGGGCCTCTAAGACTTCGCGCCAGGGGGACTCTGAGTCAGAGTCCAGTGAAGAATATATATTATACTCTGTACATAAAATGTACAAGAGTATATTAGGTTTGCGGGAGCTGAAAATGTAACAGGCAGAAGGAGGCGTGGCAGACCCCACAAAGTATATATATTCTTGATCAGCATGACGAGACGAGTCGATCTAGCCCTGTCTGTCCGTCTGTCCGTATAAGATAAGAGGTATAGACATATAGGTATAAGAGGTAGAGACACCAGTAGAGACTTTGCACATAGATGCGTTATATGTGTACGCTGTGCAAGTTTGTTTTATTTTTTTGATTTTCCCCCCCCTTTCCCCCTATGGGGGTTTTCCCGATTTTCCATTCGTATAATCGCCTATATCTCGGAGACTATAAGACCTACGGGCACCAAATTGTTGTCCCAGATGCTTTATGTGAATAATTAATTTAATTAATTTCTATAATTATTCTAAACATATGTACAGAGTATTTCAAAGTCGGGACACCCGACTTTAGCTTTTTTACTTGTTTTTTAGAGAATTTTTTATGGTTTCATAAAGCTTGTTATGTATATTTTGTATCTTCAACAATTTAGCTGAATTTCTAGACAGCGCAGTGTCATAACAATCGTCTTTTAAGCAAATACTGTAATTATAGATAAAATTGTGTATTTATTTCAGAGCTTTTAAAAATATAACAACAACACTTTCTACTGTATATATAATCTATATACATGTATGTTTTTATTTATTCATAAAACCTAATGGGAAATTTAGAAGGTAAAACCCCACTGTGTTATTTGCGAACTCCAATAAACTGTTGCAATTATTGTTTTTATACAATAAATACCACTTTAGGCATACAAGTTTTTACATTTATTTTTATAAATTTAAATTATTTTTCTAAAAATCATATATAACTAAATTTACAAATACAAATACGGATACAAATTCCGTTTCACAGTGGTGAGCTCTAAGGCTTGGCAAATTCGAGCTATAAATGGGGGAAAACGGACTCCAACGTTCGCATTGAAAATGTAAATTTCTCATCTAATGAATTCAAACTTGGTTTGTCTTATCTAAGAAAGAATACAAAATATACTTACATCGCAGCTTCTTTTTTAATTGGAAGTTTCTCGAGCTTATATAGAAAGATAACTATGAAAGACAAAAGAAAATACCAGGAATTTCTTTTGGACCGACTCAATACGGTCTCTTTTTTTTAAGCGCATGAACAGTATCCAGCATAATGAAGTTGCATCGAAAATTGCTTTCTAAAGGATCAATATATTCTTTAGAGTAAAGGTTAAAGTATCCGCAGCCTCATTTATTTGAGTTGTCAAGATTAAAGGACAGCTTAGTTTTGAACAAAAATTGGTCCAACATATTTGCCTGTCGAGAACTACTAAAAACCGGAGTCACAAAATCGAAGAAGTAAGAAGCAAGGTTAGGCTAGGAAGAAAATTAAAACACAATTTTGTTTATTTATTTTATTTTTATTTGTATAAATCATTCATAAATTCATTCCCTTTAATATTTTTAAAACTTTATAATATTTACATGTAATAATTAATAATAGGCTTAATAAAAATTATGATCTCAATTCGAAAATTTCCTACTGTAGATAGGTCCAAATAAATCGAACAATTGGCAAAACATAAAAACGCGTTTCAACTTAACGATATTACAGATTTTGCTGTTGCTAGAGTATGGCAAAAAAAATCAATAAATCATTCATATGATTTTGGTGCACATTCCATTCACGGTCCGAGGTCATCGAACTTGCACAACACCACGTCAATGTACAACAACAAAAATATATATCTTTCAACAATAATATTCATTTTCACATTTATCACTATGCAGGGGCTGCGGCTTTTCATCTCTCTTTTTTTGTTTATTTGATTTTTTGGGAGTGGGTTTTTTTTTTACGTTGACTGAAAGCAACATTTATATATTAGGTCGCGTGAAGAGTTCAACTTACCAGAATTCAAGCACGCTATATAGAATGTTTTTAAATTTTTTTGTTTGTTTTTTGGTTTGTTTTTGTTTTGATTTAAGTGATTTAATATGAATAGGATTTTGAAATCGAAGCATGTGGAGCATAGTCTGCGAATTGTTTTCAGCAGACGACCGGTAAATGCATGTAAGAACAGTCTGTATCCTCGCAACGACCCATCAATTCGAAGGGACAGATCATGCCATTGACATCGACTTGGCTGCAAGGGAGGAGAAGAAAAGAAATGCATTTTGATTAACCAGATTTTTTGGGTGCTACACACCTGTTGTAGTTGCGTGACATGGGCGTGTGATATTCTTTCAGAAGACTCTCCTTGATGGGCTCTTCTCTCAGTTCTTTCATGAAGGAGACGGTGTGGGGAGCCTGCACCTTTGTGGACGATGTAGCTGCCTCGTTTGCAATTATCTGAAAATAAACTCAACCAATTGATTAGCATGGGATTAGTACAAAATGCGCGACACAAAGAGCGTAACATTAGTTGAAGTCATAGGAAAATTTGAAGCAAATTTTAAACAAAATCCACGCACATCGTCAATTGATTTTTCGACAGCATCGATTGTAGTTGCACCTTCGCCTTCTGCGCTACCCTCAGCTGCTACTATTGTATCACAATCTTCTAATATGGCCTCGGCAGCGTCTAGCTTTTCTACAGTTGCAAGCTCAGTTGTTTGTTCGGAAGGGACAAACGGCTGGGACTGGAAAGGCTTATCTTTGGATGCGCTAGGAATTTCTTTGGGTTCACAGCTTGGCTCAGTGGGATCAGCAATCTTCGCCTCATCATGTGGCAGAGGGGCAGTTGATTCATTAAGCGATTTTGTCGCAGCTGTTGTGGCTGGCGAATCTTGATTAGTTTCTGTGGGCTCAGTTAGTTTTGACAAATCCGTATATTTAATTATCGAATTATACAGACGAATCTCTTTAGTCAGCTCCGATGATTTGCGCTTTATCTCCGACTTTCCCTCGTCCAACAACCTGAAAGAGAAATGTTTGTAACAACATTGGTTAAGACTGGATAGGTATCAGCAAATCGTCTAGCCGGGCCATCCGATGTTTCCCCCGAAAAATAGCGAGCGTTGTTTTCGTCCAGCAACTCCCATTTTGTAGTTGGAGTGTAGAGTAGTACCTGTAGTCGTCTCCCTTGATGCTTTTCCCAAGATCCATGGCCGCATTGTAGAGTTTTGAACGCTTCTGCTTCAACGATATGATGATCTCATGCGATGCCTGTATTTCGGGCTGAATGCGTGCCAGCTTGGCCTCCTCTTGCTTCACAGCCTGCTTTACGGCTTGCATCTCGGCGTACAGTTCTTTGAGGCGCTGCGAGCAGCGAAGTCGAGTGATCTTCGACTTCTTCGCCTCCTCGACCATATGCAGCGATTTATCCAGATTGGCAATCATGCTGCCGCTGTAATGTAAATCGGAATTTAGTGTTACCGCTATATTCTAATTATTTTCCTGCATATGTACCCAATTTTCAGGAACGAACTTTCAAAGGATTTGAGCCGACTTTCCTTTGGCTGCTGCAGCTGAGCTTTTGGAATAGCTGCTGCTTTCGCTGTGACTGTTTTCTGGGCATTTGGATGCCCGGCTGCTACAACAGGTAGTTTAACATCGGTAACCGTTTTTAAAATGCTTATATTCTTCTTTGTCAACACCTGTGATGGCTGCGCTGGAGCATCTGTAACTGTTGCCACCACCTGTGCTGCTGATGCGGAAGCACTATCGTTGACAGGATTTACATTTACAGGATTTACATTTATGCCAGCTGCTTTCGTTGCTACCGCTGTTGTTTTCTTCGCAACCTTGTTGCTACTTGGCGGCTTGAGGGCTACTGTTTCGGATGATGCTGCTGCTGTAGCTTCCACAACTTTGTTTCTTGCGACTTTAGCTGGGACCATGGGCTTCTCCGTTGCTGTCGCCTTGTTCGTGGAACCTTTTAATGCCTCAATTTTTTTTCTCTTCTCCAAAACTTTCATACGTTCGATGAGACGCACGTATTCCCTTTGCGACTCCATGGGAAGATGTTTCACAGCCTGCACAACGAAATAAAGTCAAAGATGTATTAATTCATCTACACACGTAAATGATTCCGGCAGCAAGAGACCAGACGAGCTGGAAGCACATCCCCAGACTTCATTATTTGACTTGGTTGATCTTCATATACTCTTTTGATACGAATTCGGTCTAACACGATTACAAAATTGTTACATTTTCTCATTGAACACGGTGAAAAACCTCGTTCTTACACTACACCTAATTCTGTTTTTACACGGTAGATTGCTTCCAGGAACAATAAGTAAATATATGTATATGTATATAGTACATAGTTGTTAAGGTGAGAAAATCTTTAGTGAAATGGTTTCACCGTTGAATGAAATAAAATAGTATAAAGTGAATTATAATAATTGCAGTTTCTACAAAAGAAAATGAACCATACTTGTATGTATAAGGAGTGCTACTATGAAGCTTTAAGAGCAAAAAAACTCTTGATTACGAAAACTGTTGATTATAAATGCCACAAAATGAATTTTCGCTTTATTTCAATACCTACATATCTGTTCTGTTTTTACTTTTGAAAACGTTTGCCATTTGAATAAACCTTTGTATGTTTAAACAGTAAACTATTTTTTATGCATTTTTCGAAGTCTAGGAACGTAACCTGTATCGAGCGAAGCAGGATTGGCAGGATATGGCGTCTGCCAGCTACGAAAAGGTTGGTGTTATGTTCGGCAGCTGAGGCCGAACTCATTATTATCTGTATAAGAGAGCATGTCTTTAACTACCACCTTTGTAAGACAAGTCTGTTTGTTCATGACGATTGTTAGATTTATTTATAGGTTGCGCCTTTTAAGTTTTATGGAATGCACTTTCTCTAACTCGGTTCTTTACTAAGGTGAAGAAGCTGCCGCTCTTTCTAAGAAAGGATCCTCTGATTGCTGTTAAACTCACTTGGCTTCAAGTCAATGGTTTTCTGCTAAACTCTAAGTATTATGTGCAACTTAAAATGTGTAAAACAAAAAATAATAATCGATGTTCCATTAAACATCTATGTTTGCTCTCGATATATCGAGCTTTTACGATACATTGAATAGGTCAATATCGAATCACAAATCGATGTATTTGATCCGATGCATCGAACATCGAGTTTTATATTGGAAGTTTGGCCATTTTTGGTTAATTTGTTTTAATTGTGTTATTTTGTGTACCGAAATATTTTATTATATCACCAAACAAAACAAGTGTCGTATGGATTATTACGACAAAAAAGTTAGCAAAAAACCTAAGTGCAAGAAATTGTAAATTCCAATTAAATCAATTTTAATTTGAATATTACAATTGGATCAAATTTAAGGCGTTTGCAAACCATACAATAATTAGCAGAAATAGTACACCTATTTTGATGAATATAAGGAGACAGAAAAACCTTATAAATTGTACATACTTATGATTTTCTGTGTATGGATAGGAAAAGTCTACATAAAGACGGACGGGCAGACAAGTCAGATAAAAAGCTGTTGGGCAAATATATATATTACTTTTTGAATTTTCGATCTACATACCGGCGAGGTTTGCGTCTTCGTTTTAGGTTGAGGGGCAACCGCATTATTAGCCTCATCAGTGCCTTTTTCCACTGCCGTTGGAGTTGTACTCTTAACCGTCTCTTCTTCGTTGGCCTTTTTCGCAATCCCATTGGCATCTTCTGGTTGTTCAGTGCTGCTTAGTTCTTCTGGGCTTTTTTCACAATTTGAGCGCGCCTGCTTTAGGAAATCATCCAGCCTCTTCTCAAAGTACTCATTAATCACAACTCGCCTTAGATTTGACGCACTTGCTGACGACTCTAGAATCTCGGAATTGGGCGTGTTAGACCTGGTTGTAGAATTGCTGGCACTGCCCATCGTGAGGCTCAAAGGACTTGCGTTATCAGAGTATTTGGTGTAACCAAATCGGCTCATCAGCTCATTGATTGGCAGGTCCATAAGCTCATCGTCGCTATCTGTGGAAGATTCTGCAAGGTTTACAACCACGCGATTGATTTTGATGCTGGCCGAATCGTATTTTGTTATCAGACGCGAAGTACTCGGTGGTTTATTGGCGTAATGCATGGGCGCCCCTCCCTCCTTGATGAGAAGTGTCGCGGGCCGCTTGGCGCTCAACTCATCTAGCATGGCAGTTTTACGCTTCACAGTAGTTGTTTTATTGATAACCTTGTTCGGCTTCACGATTTTAATGACCCCTGGCATTGGCAAATTTTGTCGTCCATTCGGCGCTACTGGTTGCAATGCCTTGGAAGTGCTTGCAGGCTTCTTTGGGGCTACGTTGCGAGTAATTGTGAGTGTTGAGCTCGACTCAATTGCACTACAATTTTCCAACTGCTCTGCAGAAGGCGAAGGAACAGGTTGAGGGGGTATAACCTTTTCAGCTGCCAGTGGAACATTTTCATTTGGAATGGGAGTTGGTGCTACTTCCTTAGTTATTTCCACAATTTCTGAAGGTGCAGGTACAGATGTAGCTTCAGTTTTTTCAGACTTGATTGGTTCCCGCTCAATTTCTATTGCTACGGTGACTTCAGGCTTCACTTCATTGGTGGCGAGCTTCTCCGGTTTTTGTTCATCCATTTCTTCAGCTTCATGCTTTGGCTCATTTAGATTCGAAGAACAACTTGTTGCTATATCAGATTTTGCAGACGCCTCCTCTTTAATGGGCTGCATTTGAAATCGGCGCACCGCTTTCTTCAATATAGCTGGACTAGGGACTTTATCATCAGTTTTTCGTTTAGCTGCGATGCTTGATAGAAGCTGTAAGCGCAGTTCCTCAGCTTCATCGGTTTCCGGGCTTGGCGGATCAAGTATTGGAACTATCTCACTTGATACAGGTACAGAAACAAGTGCAGGGGAAGGGACGTTTGTCTTTAATTTGGAAAGCAGCATTGCGCGCAAAACGCCGGCCTCATCATCACTTGACTCTGCCACAGATTTAATCACACTTTTTGAACGCGAATTTTCCATGGATATTGATTGTATTTCATTGATCGAGCCATGATTTGAATGCTCTGTAGGTTCAAGAGAATGCGCGTCCCTGGCATCGTCATCATCAATTAGAACTTGCGGAATGTGATAGGATGGTGGCGGCGGTGGATAAACCTCTTCGTCGTCATCATCAATAACAATCGTCATTGGCACGGCCGGCAGAGAACTTGGCATATTATAGTTCCAGTTACCATCGCTGAAAAGTGGTCCACACAGCGTTTCCTGGCGTTGCGGTTGCGGCCAATCGGTGTGCCACTGATCGTAATGGCTAGGTCCTTGATCGCTATCGGTGTCTGCCAGATCCATATCGACAGCTTTGGTGTTTTCATACGAATTGCTTACATGATATTCCACCGGACTCGTTACGCGCTCTGGCGATGCAGCCGGACTAATGTCCATTAGATCGTCGATATCGTAATCTGTGTTAATTGTCGGATGGACACGTTTGATCATGTCCGTTGGCGAGTAAGCGCGCTCGGCATCGCGTTTTTTGCGCGCATAATGCTTCTTGAGTATGACAGATTTCAATGCTAATAGACGTAGCTGTACTTCAGGTGACTCTTCTAATGGATTTTCAGAATTTATGGAGGTTGATGCCGGACTTGATCCGTCAAATTGTGTTTCTTTTTCATGAAGTGTTTTAAAAACTTGATCCGTTGTTGTTTGAGGACTGCGATACCGTGGACTTGGTGTTTGACGAATCCGCGCTTGTAGACGCTCCTTCAAGCTATACTTTGGTTTTATATCATAGTCCCCATTGCGTGCCAGTGCCACCCGCAGCTTAGCACGGCTCAACTTTAACCGCTCTAGGTCTTCATCATCGTCTTCGTCATCATCTTCTTCGTCCACGTTGATATCGTACTCACAAATCTCATCATCCGTCCCCCTATCTAAGGGCTCGACAATGATGGACTCATTGAAATGCTGACAGGTATGGGAATGGTGGTGATGATGATGGTGATGGTGATCATGTCGTCGTTTCTTGCGCTGGCTGTGTGTACGGCGTGAGAAGGGATTGCGCTTGTAATCGCAATTGTTATCATAATATCCTTGTTTTCTACTTTCCATTCGTTTAATTTTATGTTTACTATACTTTCTTGGCGGTGGATGCTCATCTTCCGAGAAGCTTGAAATGTCGGATAGCACGGGAATCGGTTGAAAATCTTGATAGTCTCGTTGTTGTGGCAGGACTGATGGTGCGGACGGTTTGCTGTCCGCTTGTGGTTTCTGATAACCTGCAAACAAATATGAGTTAGACAAATATATAATAACAGGTAAATCTCAGAAAAGAAAACTAAGTAAGAAAAGTAAGAAATTAAAAATTCAGAGAAAAATCAGAAACCTCAATTGATGTTAATACAAATTGCTGATATGCAAAAAAAAAAACAAAAAAAAAAAAAACATTTAATTCTTCTGTAAAATATATTTGTTTTTACAAAGAAGGGGCTTAGGGCCCATATTTATGTGTGTATGTGTAAAGTCAAAGAAACTGCAACGGCTCTCACGGGAACTGACAACAGCATTTTAGTTTATAGAACTCGAAACAATAATGATAGATTACGTCTTTGCTACTTTTCTTATCACACATACACATGCAGGTATACATATGCATACATAAATGTAGATTACCCGCAGCGTATTACATGTGCATATGAATTAAATATAATACTGGAGAGAAATATTCTATCGACACTGTCCTATATACTCTCAAGTCAAGTAGTTGCATAGATATGCTTGTGTGTATGTATAAGATAGAGATTGAGCATTATGTGTACAAGGTCGTGCGAGTGCGTAACATTTCTAACATGTTGCTTCAGCATGCTTACTATATTGATCGGCGAGGTTGGCGGAGAGAACGTCTAAATTTTCCAAATCACCATTCTGGTCCTCCAGTTGTCGAATGCGAGCGCGTAGCTTGAACTCCTCGTCCTCGGACGATATAATCATTTCATATTCATCCACAATTTCGCCCTCTTCACATTCGCTAACGCCGTCTTGCTTAACGCTGACGCCATTGTCCTTATCGAAAATTACCAAATCTTGGACGTGCGTGGTCTTTCTAGGCTGGGTTTGCGTGGCGCATCGGCTGTTTGGTTTCCCTAGAGATTGTTCTGCTCCAAAGCTCTGCATTGTGCACACAACCATCTTATACTCTAATGTAAAAAATAACACTTAATTCGACCGTTTTCTAAGAACACTACGGAAAATAATGATATTTCCTCTTTTTCTTTAGCTAGCTTGGCGTTGCCACACTACTATGCGTTGTCACAAAACTGTCAATCAGTGTTGTTAAACTTTTAATTAATATAATTTTCCCAAAATCCCATGCAATTATTTAGAAATACAATTAAAAATAATCAAAGCGTAATTCCTGTACGCAAAAATCGCTTCTTTAAGTTATTCCATAGGAATATAGCAAGTGCTTAACTATTTAATTAGCGCCCTCTGTGTGTCAAAATAGAACTGTCATTTAGGGTTCAGTGTCACAGGCAATACTTCCGCTCTTTCCTACCCAACTCGCGGAGCAAAATGCAGCAAAAGGTATGTCAGTCTTGTGAAAATTGCCGAAATGTGTAAATATGTGAACTAAATTTGTGCAAATGTTGTATTTTTTAGCGCAGAGAACCCGTGCAGGCCGTGCAAGTTTTCGGACGCAAGGTGGGTATTCGAAAACACAAACATAATACATTTATTCGCACGTGTCAAAGCAATGAAGCGCCAGACGCTGGCCGCTCGTTGCTGAGGTTATGTTTGTGTGTGCGATGATTCTATACGGTTGCTAAATTTCGCCAATTTACTGAATTACTTTCTCGTTTCTTTTGCAGAAAACCGCCACCGCCGTAGCTTACTGCAAGCGTGGTAGCGGTCTCCTCAGGGTCAACGGACGTCCCCTCGAGCAGATTGAACCCAAAGTTCTGCAATACAAACTGCAGGAGCCACTCTTGTTGCTCGGCAAGGTGAGTGTGAAGGACAATTAATACCACCATATATGCCAAATACTTCATATTTTATATGATGATAACATTATCCCGAAATTGAAGTCAAATGAGAAATATAATGTTGCTGATTTTGTGCATAAACACACATACATATGTGTATGTTTGCCCGAGAAAAGGATCAAACACCTTGTGTACGTAATGTGAATATTTACAAACATTATTCTCTTCCGTTTTAGGAGAAATTCGCCGGCGTTGACATCCGTGTGCGCGTCAGTGGTGGTGGTCATGTTGCCCAAATCTACGCCATCCGTCAGGCTATTTCCAAGGCCCTAGTTGCCTTCTACCAGAAATGTAAGTGAGCTCTTTCGTGAAAATGTCTTGATCTGCCTTTAAAAGTGTTTGCTGGAAATATAACCTTGTTTCCCGCAAATTATTAAGGTAATGGCTAGAGAAAATACCATTAGGCGCATATACCAACCAAACTGCAAGCATATAATCAGCTCTGTTTGGGTGATGCTGCAAAAACATTCAACATCCTTATCCGTACATAAAGAACCTTCTACCAGATTTTTGTTGGAAGTCAAATGTTTCGAACAAAAGACTAATAGAAGGAAGAGCAACGAACGCGGCAATCAAAGATAGCAGGGGGACCCATTTCGTTGCCCCTGCTAGTTGAGGCTGCATCGACATGCTTCTAGATTAACTTTTTGTCAAGCAGACAACAAAAATTTATGAAAATTATTCTAATTGCACAATTTTTTTTGCCTTTGCAGATGTCGATGAAGCTTCGAAGAAGGAAATCAAGGATATTCTGGTACAATACGATAGGACCCTCCTGGTTGGCGACCCACGTCGCTGCGAGCCCAAAAAGTTCGGTGGTCCAGGTGCCCGTGCTCGTTACCAGAAGTCATACCGTTAAAAGTTCTGCTGGTTTTCAAATTGGATTTAGATATTTTGTACAACTTGAAAATATTTGCGCGCTTTCTCTGACATTGAGATACATGTGAATAAACAGAATAATAATTAATTTTATAAATTGTTGATCATTTATTTGAAAATAACGAGTTCAGTATAAAAAGCATTCATGCTATTCCAATAACATTAACGGAAACCTTAACTTATGCTTCGAATTGTTTCTCCTTATGACGCTGCAAGGTTCTTATACCATTGAACGTTTCATTCGGGGCGCTGTGGTTTAATACGAATATGGATTAAAAAAAATGTAACAATTGAATATAGAACCTTAAAAAGCGTTCTATTATAATAGAAAGTTAAAAAATTGAAACCATTATTCAGGATGAATTCCAAAATTTCATAGTTATATATTTTTGTGGACCCTAAAACTTATTCTAAGTACAGGACAAATTTGTTTTTTTTTTCACTAACGAGCATTTGGTTAATTGTGTACTTTTGCATATGTGCGTATATATAATAGTCTGACAACTACAATCTCAAAAGTTTGCATCTAGATTCATTTTCCCTCCATTCATCCTCTAGTTTTTATAGAAATACTAGGTGGGGTGAAAAGTAACCTCCTTGGGAATGAAAAAAATTTTTAGTTTATTCAATATAGTCTCCTTTTAGGGCTATACACTTAATCCAGCGATTTTCCAATTTTTGTATCCCATCGGAAAAGTAGTTTTCCGGAAGGTCTGCAAAATACTCCTCTGTAGCGTCAATGATCTCTTCGCGCGAGCTGAATTTTTTATTTATCAGCCATCTTTTGAGATTTGGGAATAGATAGTAATCAGATGGAGCCAAATCGGGTGAATAAGGTGCATGAGGAACCACTTGGAGTCCTAAATCGGTTATTTTTGCCATGGTTGCTATGCTTTTGTGTGCCGGTGCATCGTCTTGCAAAAATAAAATTTTTTTACGCATCATGTGAGGCCGTTTCGCAGCGATTTCGGCCTTTAATCGCTCCAATAATGAGCAGTAATACTCGCTGTTTATTGTTTTCCCTTTTTCGAGATAGTCCACGAAAATTATGCGACGACAATCCCAGAAAACTGACGCCATGATCTTTCCGACCCATTGAGCCTCCTTCGGCCGCTTCGGAGCACTCGTGCCAGCTTCAGTCCATTTCCGGGCACTCATTCTGCTTTCTGGTGCATAGTAGTGGATAAAGGTTTCATCAACTGTCACCAATCTACTCCAAAAGTCCACGTCAAGGAGGTTACTTTTCACCCCACCTAGTATATTTACCCAAAATTGCTCGCAATATTCAACAATTTGATTTAAACCGCCAATGCACCCAAATGTGCAATCGATAATGTATCGGAGGCGAATCCTATCGATTCGTTTACCCACCGCTAGCGTCATTTGTAGCATTTTGTAAAACGGCGGCAAACGCTTTATTTATTATTTTGTTGTGGAAACTGCTTACTGCTTATTATTTAACTTGCCGAAGCTGGTGCAGAACGCAAGAGGCGACTGCCTGATTGGTGGAAAATGTATATAACGAAGCTTATTCTCGATGGCTTCAAATCGTACGGTCGCCGTACTGTAATCGAGGGTTTCGATCCGGAGTTCACAGCGATCACGGGCTTAAATGGGTCAGGAAAGTCAAATATATTGGACGCAGTTTGTTTTGTGCTTGGAATTAGCAACTTGCAAAATGTAATTAAAAACAGGAGCCCCAAATTGTTGATGAAATTACTAATCATACTTGATATACTTAGGTACGTGCCTCTGCTCTGCAAGATTTGGTTTATAAAAACGGCCAAGCGGGTATCACAAAGGCAACGGTGACAATTGTTTTCGACAACACGAATGCGGCCCAGTGTCCACAAGGATATGAGAAGTGCCGGGAAATCTCGGTGACCCGTCAAGTGGTTGTTGGTGGCAAGAACAAGTTTCTCATCAACGGCAAGCTGGTGCAGAATAAGAAGGTGCAGGACTTTTTCTGCTCCGTGCAGCTAAACGTTAACAATCCGAACTTCCTTATAATGCAAGGCAAAATAAACCAAGTACTCAATATGAAGCCTAAGGAGGTAATTATAGGTGTGCATCGTACTATGTTTTCGGCTTTAAAGCTTGCATTCGTTACAGGTGTTATCTATGGTTGAAGAGGCAGCCGGCACTAGCATGTATAAATCGAAACGCGATGCCAGCAAGACGCTTATTGAGAAGAAGGAGATGAAAGTGCGCGAAACGACGGCCCTGTTGGAAGAGGAGGTGCAGCCCAAGTTGGACAAGCTCCGCAAAGAACGCGCTGCCTACCAGGAGTATCAAAAGACATGTCGCGATATCGAGTTTCTCACTCGTATACATATATCTGCGCAGTATCTGCAGCAAAGGGAGGCCTTGAAATCTGTGGTAATTAAGGAGCAAAAGATAGAAGCGCATATTGACAACTGCCGGAGCACGCGTGCCAGTAACATCGAAGAAATTCAAAAGATCGAAGAGTCGGTGAAAGAGATTCAACACCAGGTTGATGCTGAAATGGGCGGTGCTCTCAAGGATCTGGAGACGGAGCTAACAGCTAAGCAAGCTGTTCAGGCCACCACTTCGGGGAGTCTAAAGGCTGCCCAGGGTACAATTGGGCAGGACGAAAAGAAGATACGAATGGCAGCCAAGAACATTAGCGATGACGAGGGTGCTCTGGCCAAGAAACAGTTTGATATGTCCAAGGTGCAGGGTGAGTTTCAAAGTCTAAAAGATGCGGATATAAACGATGCCCAGGCATACGAGAAGGCCCAGCGCAAATTTGAGGCAGTCTCCCAGGGCTTGTCCACCAACGAGGACGGGCAGGCATCAACATTGCAGGAACAGCTGATCGGTAAGCTAACAATTTCTACGCATTGCCATCTATTTTAACATAACATTTGTTTTTCAGTTGCGAAACAGCAATTGAGTGAGGCACAGACAACCATCAAGACATCCGAAATGGAGTTGCGACACACACGCACATTACTCAAGCAGAAGGAGAGCGAAACCCAATCCAATGATGCAGCATACATTAAGGACAAAAATCTCCAGGAAAACCTTGAGGCTGAGATTAGGAAATTGGAGGGCAAGATGGGGCAACTCAACTATGAAAATGGTAAATACGAGGAATTGAAGCAGCGTAGACATGAGCTTCAACAGGAAATACGTGAACTAAAGCGGGAATTAGACCGTCGGAATGCTTCTCGCTATGACCTGCAATATCAAGACCCAGAGCCGAGATTTGATAGACGAAAGGTGCACGGCATGGTGGGAAAACTTTTCAATGTAAACGACATGCAAACCTCCATGGCATTGACAACTACGGCCGGTGGCAGTGTACGTAGAAAACTATTTTTGAATGCTAGAGAAATACAACTGACTGCATTATTTTTATTTAAAGATGTATAGCTATGTTACGGATGACGACGTTACAAGCAAAAAGATTCTGCAAAAAGGAAATCTACAGAGACGCGTCACTCTGATACCCATCAATAAGATTACGCCACACGCTTTGGACAAAAATGTTATTGACTATGCACAGGCTAAGGTAAGGATATTCTTCTAGTATCCACAGAATGGCAATACAGGTTTGATTACATTTATCTCTCAGTACGGCAAGGAGAATGTTAATTGGGCATTGTCGCTTATAAAATACGATAAATACTTTGAGCCAGTCATGAAGTTTGTTTTTGGCGGCACACTCATTTGCAAGGACTTGGATGTGGCGAAAAAGGTAATAGAGTTATAAAATCAAAATAGCGCATCATTTATAAAATCAACTGTAAATATTTATTCAGGTTACTTACGACAATCGTGTCAAGTGCCGCTCTGTAACGCTGGAAGGTGATGTGGTAGACCCGAATGGCACGCTTTCTGGTGGCGCTGCTCCCAAAGGCGCTAATATATTGGAGGAGCTATACTCTATTAAAAAGTACGAAAATGAAATAGCAGACAAGCAGGCCGAACTAAAACAAGTCGAAGAAGAGTTGGTGTAAGTGACCAAACATTATTTTTATTATAAACTAATTTACTTTTCCTTTTAAAAGTGTCATTGAAAGAATAGCGCATACCTATAATTCGCTAAAGGAGAGCTTTGACTTGCGCCAGCACGAATTGACAATGTGTAAGACCCGCTTGGCCAACACAGCCTTCCAGCAGAACCAGGCCGAAATCGAGGAGATGAAGGAAAAGGTCAAGTCGTTGGAGGAACAAAATTCGTCGTCGCGAGAAAAGCAAAAGACAGCTCAAGTGAAGGTGAAGGACATCGAGGCAAAGCTTTCCGATGCCAAAGGATATCGCGAACGTGAGCTGAAGGCGGCGAGCGCTGAAATGAAGGAGGCCAAGCAAAGAGCGGAAAAGTCACGGGCGAACTGGAAGAAGCGTGAGCAAGAGTTCGAGACCCTTCAATTGGAAATAACAGAGTTGCAGAAAAGCATCGAAACAGCAAAGCAACAGCATCAGGAAATGATTGATAATCTCAAAAAATATAAAACTGAGCTAGAAGAACTACAGCAACGCAGTTCGACAGCGGCAAACGAAGTGGCAGAATTGGAGCGGGAAATTAAGGTACAGAAGGACAAACTGAATTCCCAAAATAAGGAAATGAAAGTATTATGTGCCAAGAGGGATAAAATGGAGAAGCAGAATGAGGAATTGGAATTGGAAATAAAAAAGAAAGAAACAGCAAAAAATAAGATTACTAAGGAGGCACAAGATGCCAAGAACCGAATGGAAAACCTGGAAGAAAAATATCCGTGGATACCAGAAGAGAAAAATTGCTTTGGAATGAAAAACACTCGTTATGACTACTCTAAAGAGGATCCCGTTGAAGCAGGAAATAAATTGCATAAAATGATGGAGAAAAAGGATAAAATGGAACGCTCGCTAAATATGAATGCAATGATGATACTGGAGCGGGAAGAGGAAAATTATGAACAGGCGCTGCGACGTAAACAAATCGTGGCCATGGACAAGGAAAAAATAAAAAGTATTATAGTTAAAATGGATGAGGAGGAGACAGAACAGGTGCGCAAGGCATGGAGCGAAGTTAACGAGAATTTCAGTGGCATATTCAGCTCATTACTGCCTGGCGCCCAAACCTGCCTTCACCCGGTTATGACAAATGGAATATTGAGCGGTCTGCAAATAAAAGTTGGATTCAATGGCGTGTGGAAAGAAAGTCTTGGTGAGCTGTCTGGTGGTCAAAAGTCTTTGGTCGCCCTCTCCCTAGTACTGGCCATGTTAAAGTTCTCCCCAGCACCGCTATACATTTTGGATGAGGTGGACGCAGCTCTTGATATGTCTCACACACAAAATATTGGCAGCATGCTGAAAGAGCACTTTACGGCCTCGCAGTTTTTGATTGTGTCCCTTAAGGATGGTCTCTTCAATCATGCCAATGTCCTTTTCCGCACGCTTTTCGAAGAGGGCGTCTCAAGCGTTTCACGACAAGTTAGTACCCGCAAGCGCTGAAATCTTTATAATTGTATTGTTTTTTATAACTTAACTTAATAATGTAAGCTTGAGAAACCGAGAATAAAATAAACAAACCAGAGGCATTTGGTGTGTTAATCTAAAACTGATATAACGATATTTTGATCTTTTACCTTACAAAGTAACTGAATACTAATTCAGGAAAATTAACTTCTTCAAAATGATAAATCTCTGAAGAGATATCCATTGCATTGGATTATATAAATGCGGCTTGATTAAATAATCAAATCAATTAATCAATTGTTTAACAAAATAATTAGCTTAATTAAGTATTAATAGCAGATTAAAAATGAGCTTTGAGTCAAGTGAAGTGCCCCTTTTTTGAACGGCAAGTAATGGATTAAAATAAAGTTCCATAAGAGTTGTCTACTTTTTATAAAACAATTTTTAATGTTTTTTAAGTTCCATTTACGTGCGATGTCCTTTACTTTTTTATAATTTAATTTAGTTTTTCATAATAGTGTCGTGTAATCGATTTGCTATGTTCATATTGTTTATATTTTTGAGTGTATTATAAGTATCGATTCAGATTATTGTAATTTTAAAGCCTCTTTAACTTTATATTTATACATCAACAGATTTTAAATGTTTTTGTTTGTCGACATAAAAAACTAAATTAACAAAATAAACCAACTAAAATTGTTTTCAAGCAATGGAAACCGTTTTGAATATTTGAATTAAATTGATCGCCAATTTCCAACTGGGATGCAATATTTATCGAAACGTCAAACTGACGTTTGGTCACAGCGACAAAGAGAACGACGTGACCGACAGGGACAAAGCGACGGCACTGACAGTCGTCGGCGACAAAAGCGATGGTTCCAATTGCACGGGTGCGAGTGAGACAGTACGTTGGTGAGACCGTCGTCGGGACGGAACGAAAACAGCGCGCGCGCACACACACATACACTTACAGTCACACAAACAAGCCAGCAGTTGTAGAACCAGCCAGCGACTACCACAATGTTTGTGTAAGGTGAAAATTGTGGAAAAGGCGCTGGATTTTATTGTTTAAAACAAACGAAACCCCAACCATCATCAAAATTACAAGCCAACGGAGAATACTAAAAAAGCTCGAGAAAATGGTAAGCAGCAATTAAATCGTACACAATTGTACACCTTGACAAAAATATCAAAACTGTCGGTCGTTCGGTCGAGTGTACTGAAGAATGTTTGTTTGTGTGCGCAGACTGTCTGTGTGTGTCTATGGGATAAAAATTATAGACACCGCTGCTGCTGATTGCAAAATAAGATGCGTTTCCTATAGGAGGAGGGTCAGGGTTAGCATTAGAGACTCAAAACATTGTGCCAATTCTGGTCAATACAATTTTGCATCAGGAATTCAACATCCACGCACACACTTGCATTTATTACCCATAGATATGAGTGCAGTATGTAGGTACCTCGGATGGGGGACCTAAAAGGGGCAAACTAATAGGTACATATGTATGTATGTACGTATGTATTTCTGTACATAAGTAGGAATGTATGTATGTACTTGTATCTTCACCGGCCAAGTCTATCTTTAAATGCAAGTCCATCTTAACTGATACATATGTTTCTTATGTTTATCTTTAGTGTTCGTGTTCAGTCCAGTCCGCTTGGGGAAAGACTGTGTGCTTGAGATTCTTTCTTAACACTAGGGCCACACAGTTCCAGTTAAAACCATTGCAACTAATATGTATATATTGAAGTAGTTTTGTACGAAGAAATCCACCTTTTGCCTCTTTTCATTCTTAACTTCAAGGTTTTCAATATTTTATTCAAGGATCGAGTGACAAAGCCGCAGAAAAAAATGCTCATCACACTGCTGCGCGAGACCAAGTACATGGAGGGCAAGAAGGAGAAGGAGTGGTACTGGGAGAAAATACAGGCGGCATTGAACACCATCGGACCCAAAAAGACCATCATTCAATGGAAGAAGGTATGCTTACACGTTACTTATGTTTGTATGATTGACATGCTCTACATGCTCTTCCTGGCATGGTCATTTCACAGTGCTGGCGGGACATGCGTTTAACCACGCGTAAAAAACTGGCCGAGCTAAAGCGGTGCCAGTTGTCTGGTGGCTCACCACCGCCAGGTATTGAACTGAACCAGGAGGACAATGACATCATTGATATTGTGGGCACTGAGTACTTCTATGAGGAGATGAACGGCGAGCTGAAGCCGGAGAATTTCATGTCTAGCTTTGACTATGTGCCGGAACACTTTTGTGACGCGATACTCACGGCTGCTGCCGGGCAGCAGCAGCACATGCAGCATCAGAAGGATCAGCAAGCACACGGTCAGCAACCGCACGACCATCACACAAACGATGGCGAGACAAATGATGCGCCAGGCTCCTCTAACGGTGCCTCCTTTCAGGGGCAGGGCGTCGGCCAAATGGGCCAAGGACACAATGGTGCCGAGCATGGCAGTGGCAGCGCAGGTGGCCAATCGCATACTGCTATTCCCCAGCATCCGGCCTTTCATGGCGGTCTACATCCACATTTGCTGCGACGATCGCATGGAAACTCTGCGCTGCAGCGTGAGACGCCATTCGAGGAGAAGTTGTTGCAGTTCATGCAGGATGCCTTTCCGAAAAAGAGTAAGAAGCGCAAGCAACGCGATCCCGATAAACTATTTCTACTGTCGCTCTATGACGAAATCAAGCGCGTGCCCGAGGAGATACGCTTAGACGTGAAGTCCGAACTCATACAGATCTTGAAGAAGTACCAAAAGAAATCGCCAGTGAAGGCGGAAAAGTCATCCACCTCCACATCGTCAGCGTCCAAACAGAGCAGCAGTTCAGCCGCCCATCTGCCACATAGCATGTACCAGCTGCAAAAGAAGTACGAGAAGAACGAGAAGGAACCTTCGCCACAATCCCAGGTGGAACGCGTATCCGCCACAGCCGTGCCGCTTCATGCGCCGCAGCAGATTCCACTTTTCCAGCTGCAGAAAAAGTACGAGGAGAGCGCTGATAAAGTACACCAGCAGCAAAACGAGCAGCGCAAGCATGTGGAGGCGGCGCACCAGCAGCAGCATGCAGCACATCAGCAGCCGCCACCGCCGCCCAACGAACAGCACCTGCACCATCCTCAGATGGCGCACAACATCATGTTCCCGTTGGCGCAGCTGCGTAATGAGCAGCCGCCATCTCAGCAGCATCATGGCCACAATCCGCATCAACAGCAGCAACAGCAGCAGCAGCATCCCCACCAGCAACAGGCCCAGCAGCATCATCCACCGGCGATCTTTGGGACTGCTGCGACCACATCAGCGATGAGCACAGACCGGCCAGCGATGTCGTACGAGAATGTCGGATGAATGTTGAGCCGTCTGTGGGAAGCCACTTGTGGAGCGCGCCCTTCGACGGTGTCCCCCACGACGGCAGACGCTGACAATTGTTAGCCATCGATTAGCCTAGCCAAGCTCAGCCCAGCTTGAATCCAGTGACTTCAATGGCTCCGGGCCAACATTCTTCGCTGGACAGCTATCGTTTAAAACTGTGTGCAAATTTGTTTCAAACATTAGGTTTTATGTCTACTTTATAGTTTCTAGTTTATAGCCATGAAATGATCTTCATGTAAATGCTTTAGGACAGTCCCAATGCCAACAAAACCGAAAACCAAAATTGCGAATTGTAGTTTCGTTTTTGAGAAATCGCAAATGAGTTTTAATGCAATTAAAAGAAAAGAATTTATACTAAAAACAAAAACTTACAAATGTATACAATGGCAAAAAAAAAAAGAAAAAGGATATACCTTTGGACTTAAATCGTGTGAATGAAAGGATGTTGATAATCTTAACTGCGTAGCATTTGCAACAATGTAAACATTAAACTAAATGTCTTTTGGAAAAACCTCGAATTTCTCTCTTGTCTGTCTCTTAATCGTATACTACCATATATTATCGCCTAAGCTTTGTTTGCTCTTGCCGAGTGTGATGTTTGTTTGAGGATTTGGTGTTCTGTTTACTCTGTTTTCGGACACACACAATTGACGTTCTCTGCCGCCTTGCGGTGAGTCGGCAATTGTGGTGATCACCGATCATAAGTGAGAACGCGCTCGCGATGCATATCTCACGCAATAATCGCTGCCATAAAGCTGATGATAGCTGAAGCCCAGACTGTCAGATATACGAGTATGTGCGCTTATCAGTAGCGTTCGTTCAGCGTGCGTGGGCGGCAGGCAGGCAGGCAGACAGCAGCTGTAGAGCTGTCTACTTGTAGATCCCGATTATCATTCTAGTCTGTGAGCCTGCAGCAGCCAGTTGTGGGAAAATTGAGGCGGAAGACAAGTGTTTTTCGTGAATGGTGCACTCTAAAGTACTCGGATAGAGCTACAATGCTCAGCCTGACCTTAACGACTCGTTAATTCCTTAAACAACAAAGAAAAAACCAAAGTTATAAGCCCATGAGCAAGTGAAGAAAAAGTGTGAAAAGCTACAAAATTTCTAGTGTTATTAACATTTTTAAAAATGGCCGAAGGTAATCCTAAAGAGATGTTTCCTTTCCATTACACATTCGTTTAACAATATTATTCAAATTAATCGTCTGTTACTAACTAAATCGTATTCTTTAAATGTCACATTGCATCTTATTGTAACACATGATCTAGTTGAAGACCTCACATGGAACTTAATTAACCACAAATTACCTTCGATGCGACACTATGTATTCATGCTCTGGGTTGCACAATTCTCAATTGTTGTCGGTTTGCATTTCAAGTTTGTACTTTATTTTTATTTTTTTTTATTATTACTATTTCTGCCGGCACGAATTCAAGAGCCATGCTTTGTTAATGCGTTCACATAGGCGTAATATTCTAAAGGTTTCGCATAGAGGATGCGGTTGTGAGTGAAGAGCGTCTCTTTGTTTTAATTAAACTAAAATCTCAAACATAATATTCAATCGTTCGCAGTCGAGGCGCGCACGGTGCTCTGGCATCTGGCATTCATGGGCTTCATTGTGAATTACATGATTCGGATTAATGTGAATATAACCATCGTCGACATGATCGTCGGCAAAGGGAATGCGCCTTCTCCAGTTGTCGCGACAAACCCACCGCACATTGTTTCCGGAAACACTACGGAACGCCTGCTTGTAGTCCCATTAGAGGCAGCGGCAGAATACCAAAATATAACCGGCAATGCGAGTTCACACACCGAAAAATATTCACTGGAAAAACACTTTTTAAATTGGGCAAATGTGAGTTTAATTAATAAATAAAAATATGTATATTATATAGGTTTTGCATACCAAAGGGTATGTAAAAGTAGGAGTACACATTCCAGAGAGTATATTTATTTTACAGACAGACAGACAGACAGACAGGGGTCTGAATGTGTAGCACTTGGAATTTTGTAGACTTTGTCTCCTAATTTCACATTATTAATTTATTATTGCCATTTTTAGATTGGTAAGTTGATTGGAAATCAAATCCAACACGCGAGTAAGTGCTAAGTAAGTGATATATAATCTACAAGACTCATGCATTCAATAAAACATAGGGGTCCCATAAAAGAGGCAATATACATTTTAGAGTTGATTATTTTTAGGGATTTTAGTATGGTTCAGTCAGGTTGAGCGAACGATACACTGCCCCATGAGTGCTGATTTTACAAATTTCCTTTAAATACATAAGATACATAGGTATGGTAATAAGTAAGTAGGCTTGGAAGGAACTGAAGAGATGATCTATTGTTTTAAGCAGGCAACGGACCAAACATAAGTATTATGAGATATCTGAAATGGTTGTTAGCTAATCTTACTATTGTTGATAAAAATATTCCTAGTCTTACAACTTGCTTAGAGGATTAACTGATAAAATATATTAATCACTTAATATGACACTTTTGTGATACATAAAATAAATAAATAATAAGTAGACTTCAAAAACTCTGAAAAGATGATCTATTATTTTAAACATTCAACGGACCAAACATATTATGAGATATCTGAAAAAGTTTTTAGCTGATCTTACTATCGTTGATGAAAAAATTCCTAGTCTTACAACTTGCTTAGAGGATTAACTAATAAAATATATTAATCAATATATTATTATATATCAATATATTATTAATTAAAAGTGTCATATCACTTTTGTTATACTATCTTAAATTGGAAAACTTATCTCTTTGCGTTAGAAATAAGATCAAAATAATTTTGATTTGCTCATAGCTTTGATTTTTGTTGCCTATTATTTTCAGATTGAATATGAAAAGGATGGCTTTCATTGGAATGAATACCAGCAGGGTCTTTTATTGGGCTCATTCTTTTGGGCCCATTGGATTCTACAAATACCCGGCGGCATTTTGGCTCGTAAATATGGAACTAAATTGGTATTTGGATTGGCGAATGCAACCGGAGTTTTCTGTTGTTTCCTTATACCAATCGTGTCGTACTGGAGCTTTGCTGCTTTAATTTGGTTGCGAGTTTTTCAGGGTTTTATAACGGTAGTTCTCATACCCTAATTGAGGATTTTAGAAAATGTCATTTGAAGAATTTCGATTTTCAGGGTCTGGCTTGGCCGGCAATGCATGTTCTAACAGGTAAATGGATACCTCCGAACGAGCGAAGCAAATTCGTAACTGCCTATTTGGGTAGCTCAGTGGGGGTGGCATTATTCTATCCTATATTTGGCTATATAATACATTGGACATCCTGGGAATGGGTGTACCATATTTGTGGCTTTCTCGGCACAGCCTGGTTCATTGCCTGGCAGTACTTTGTGTTCGACAGTCCAGCTGAGCATCCGCGCATCGCCCCCTCAGAGTTACGCTACATCGAGAAGTCGCTGGGAGCCTCCGTACAGACGAACAGCAATCTTGGTCCCACTCCTTGGCGTGCCATTCTCACCTCACGGCCCGTCTGGATGAATGTGATTGCCCAGTGGGGTGGAATTTGGGGCCTATTCACGCTGATGACCCAAGCGCCGACCTACTTCCGCGTCATACATCACTGGAATATTCGAGCAGTAAGGCTGCAGTCCGCCGAACATTTCTATAGTATTAATGACCTTATTTTTTTAGACGGGTTTCCTTTCGGGTCTACCTCATTTGATGCGCATGCTATTTGCCTATGTTTTCTCCATATTTGCGGACTACTTGTTGCGCACGGATCGTATGAGCCGTACAAATGTCCGTAAACTGGCCACAGCTGTCTGTAAGTTCATTACATGATTTTTCAATTTATATATTAGTCGTATTTAGAATGGATGTGTAATTATAATTAGAAATTTCTTTTCCAATGCAGAATATTAGAAATTTATAACCGAAAATTATGACTTCAAGTAGGTAGACGGCCTTTATCTTTGAAATTTCTTTGTATTTAGTCGGTGTTGATACAAGTAGAGGATTTCTGAAGTATTGTTTAAATTAGTCTTCAGATATTTTAAATACGTACTATAATGTCATAGAAAATTCGATTAAAAATGTTATCTTATCATGGTCGATTGCGTCGAAAGCAGCAATAGTTTTGTTTCCCTGCAGTTTTTTGATCAAGACCTCCCAAGAACCTCCTAAGTGGATCAATTATTTGTCAGACATTTTTCATAACTATTCACAGCAATTCACTTGTTCATTATGCGGGTTTAAAAGAAAATTTTATATAAAATTTTATTTAATAGGCTTACTCCCATTATACTATTACGTGGTAGTAGTTTTGTTTCTCTGCAGTTTTTTGTTGAAAACCCCTTAAGAACCCCCTAAGTAGATCAATTATTTGTCAGACATTTCCAATAACTATGCTCAGCACTCCACTTGTTCATTATGCGGGTTTTTAATAAAAAAAAGTTATACAACATTTTATTTAATATGCTTACTCCCATTGTACTATTACTGCTTATAAAAGGATATCATCATATTATTTCTATTTTCTGTTTCTTTTTTAAAAATTGTCACACCTTACAGGTTGCCTCGTTAAGGGCCTCGTAGTGCTAGCATTGGCCTATTTCGGTTATAATGCCACTGCGGCTATTGTGTTGGTCACAATGGCCACGATGTTCCATGGCGCTGTCTCCTCCGGTCCACTCGCCTCTGTCGTGGATCTCTCACCGAACTATGCGGGCATATCGCTGGGGGTAAGTGGCACGATTGGCGGCATGCCAGGCTTCATCTCACCCTATATAGTGGGCCTTCTAACGCTGGGCAACGTGAGTTCCAAATAAATAAGTTCTGATACTCGTACATTAAATGGGATAAATATTTTGTATTTTTAGCAAACGCTTGAAGCTTGGAAAAATGTATTCCTTATAGCCGCTGGAATGCTGATCACCAGTGGCGTGCTCTACGTCCTTTTCGGCGAGTCCACACTGCAGCCTTGGAATAGTAGCAGCTTTGGAAAGGATGGGGGCCTGAAGGAGCTGCAGATATACGAGGAAAAGCAGCCTCTGCAAGTTGAGAAGCAAGTTGAGAAGCGGGAAGCGAAGGATGAATAGGAACGATGGCTGGAAATCGCTTTTTAGAGACACTGCTGTGATTCGCATTTGACGCAACATTTGGGAATGATTTATTGACATAAGTATGAGTATTAGTTGATTAGGGTGCCACTTGTTGCGTTCGTGTCTGGTTGCTGATAAGCGGAAAAACATTTGCTTACGGCTTAGGTGTTAGGCTTTTTTCTAGTTTTAAATTATATTTGCTCGCCATTACCTGGCGAATGTCATGGTTCGTAAAAAATGGAGAGTGAGCTTTGGCACTCTTGATATTGTTTGTTTGGCGAACACTCTGCCTTTAAGTGTGTTGGGAATGATGAATAAAATGCAACCGTATGTTGTAAATAATCAAAATATATGATGTTTAAAAATTTACGAGTGACTGAATGCCAGCCGGCCTCCTTTCCCATTTAATGTGTACGCTAAATTAGTTGAGTCTTTGTTAGAACGAAACCATCGAATTGCTGTACTTGAGTTAATAATTGCAATTTAAATCAAAACTGATTGAACCGGAAAATCGTTTTCTGAAGAAAGTTATAGCTATAAATAAAATCGCTGCTCATGCTCTGCTTGCAGCGCTGCCCGCATCTGTTGTTGTTGTTGCTTATATATACACGTATATAAACACATATACACGTATATAAGACAAGTGATGTAAAAGTAAAACTGTACATAAACATGTCTTCTATGTATGTATTAAATAAATTTTCCTAATTAATTTAATAAATTAATTTAATTTTTTTTTTAAATATTTTAATTTTTTTAGTATTTTTTTAAATTTTTCTTTTTTGTGGAGAGTACAGGCTATTTTAGCGTTCTATCTTGTTTTAAATCAAATTAATGCTTTAATAAGTTATTTGTCTGTTTTTAAAAACTCACAAAAATCAATATAATTTAAAAAATATCATCATTTTGTAAATAAACCTTGCCAAAAAAAAAAAAAAACAGACGGAGAATTTAAGCCCCATTACTACACTCATAAAAAACAATAAATGTATGCTGCCCTTTTGTTTAAATCAAATTTCAGTTAATGCTTTAATATGTTATTTGTTTGTTTTTAAAATCTCATTTAACAACTCACCAAAATCAATATAATTTCAAAAATATCATCATTTTGTAAATAAACGTTCACAACAAAAATAAAAAATACACACAAATTGATAAACTCCTTCTTTTTAAAAAAGTAGCAATGATGTGTAAATAAAAACGAACAAATTCCCACAGATACTTATACATACTTAATGTCCGAATTAATGAATTCGCAGCAAAGTTCCCGAATTCCCACGTTGCCTGAGATATTAACGAACGAATGGCAACCGAATGGAATACTTCGAAAAGGGCAAAGGGTTGCGCTAGAATTGGCAAGATTATGTTTTTGTTATACCTTTTTATTAAGGCATTTTCAAAACAAAAAATTAATTATACAAGCAGCTTTGGAAAGGATGGGGGCCTGAAGGAGCTGCAGATATACGAGGAAAAGCAGCCTCTGCAAGTTGAGAAGCAAGTTGAGAAGCGGGAAGCGAAGGATGAATAGGAACGATGGCTGGAAATCGCTTTTTAGAGACACTGCTGTGATTCGCATTTGACGCAACATTTGGGAATGATTTATTGACATAAGTATGAGTATTAGTTGATTAGGGTGCCACTTGTTGCGTTCGTGTCTGGTTGCTGATAAGCGGAAAAACATTTGCTTACGGCTTAGGTGTTAGGCTTTTTTCTAGTTTTAAATTATATTTGCTCGCCATTACCTGGCGAATGTCATGGTTCGTAAAAAATGGAGAGTGAGCTTTGGCACTCTTGATATTGTTTGTTTGGCGAACACTCTGCCTTTAAGTGTGTTGGGAATGATGAATAAAATGCAACCGTATGTTGTAAATAATCAAAATATATGATGTTTAAAAATTTACGAGTGACTGAATGCCAGCCGGCCTCCTTTCCCATTTAATGTGTACGCTAAATTAGTCGAGTCTTTGTTAGAACGAAACCATCGAATTGCTGTACTTGAGTTAATAATTGCAATTTAAATCAAAACTGATTGAACCGGAAAATCGTTTTCCCTCTGCATTCAGCATCTTTCTCATTACTCATACCACGCGGTGTCCAATTCGCATGCCACGCACAAACTCCCCGCTACTCTAGCCGACCAATCGACCTTTTCTACAACCCACACGTTGTCCCATTTCTCGCACTTGCCCCCCTTTTCTGCCCATGCTGGCGAGTCATCTTATTTTTTCTTGCATTTATTTCATGGGCGTCCATTTCCGATTGCACTCCAGGGAGTCGTAGACATCGCAATGTCTGAGCCTGGTCGGGGCCACTTCACATCAGTTCAGTTCAGTTCAGTTCTGGACTCGGCCGCTCCACTAATCCAGTCAATGTCTCGTCATTTGATCCTTCGTCCTCTGCTCAAAAGTCAAAAATTGATAGAGATTAATTGGTTTCCCGTTACCGAGGCGTTGCGAGCATTCGTAATGGTTGGAAAAATTGAGCCAACGTCATCATCACCCAATAAAGCAAGACAGCTGGATAATGAGATTATTTCACATCAGAGCACTGTGCCACAATTGGCATTCATTCGTATAGCTGCCTACTAGACAGAAAGTGTGCTTTCTGCAACATTAAATAATCTGCACAGTTTTTTTTAAATTTATTTAAATCTGTTTACGGGAGTAGATAAGATTGGGTGGTATTGGCCGGATTTGTCAGATCCGGTTGCGTCCCATTATAATTGAAGAATTATGTGAGATTTTTTGTAAAGTGGTTTCCGGAGCTCATTTTTATAAAGCACCTTCTATGTAACAGAAAAGGTGCTTTGTAGTACAGAACAAGATACATATTTTGATAGTTTGGAGGATTGAAACCCCACTCATAAAGAACAATAAATGTATGCTGGACTTTTTTATATCCTGTACCCAAAGGGTGAAAGGCTATACTAGTTTTGTGCGAATGTATGTAACACACAGAAGGAGGCGTGACAGACCCCACAAAGTATATATTCTTGATCAGGGTGATAAGCCGAGTCGATTTAGCCATGTCCGTATGTTCGTCCGTCCGTCCGTCTGTATGAGCGCAAGGATCTCCGAAGGTACAAGAGCTAGAATTACCAAACTTGGTATCCAGGTTCCCCTAAGCCCTAGGCAGGTCAAGTTTATTTTTTTATTCTGATACACCCCCCCCCCCCCCACTCCACCGCAATTTGTGTTTTTTTTTTGTATAACTTTCGTAATTCTTGGAATTTTGAAGTCAGTCTTAGTAGTTACGTCCAGTTAGTGCTTATGTGTCCGTATGCCAAGTTTCATCATGATAGGTCAATTCTGAAGAAAGTTATAGCTATAAATAAAATCGCTGCTCATGCTCTGCTTGCAGCGCTGCCCGCATCTGTTGTTGTTGTTGCTTATATATACACGTATATAAACACATATACACGTATATAAGACAAGTGATGTAAAAGTAAAACTGTACATAAACATGTCTTCTATGTATGTATTAAATAAATTTTCCTAATTAATTTAATAAATTAATTTAATTTTTTTTTTAAATATTTTAATTTTTTTAGTATTTTTTTAAATTTTTCTTTTTTGTGGAGAGTACAGGCTATTTTAGCGTTCTATCTTGTTTTAAATCAAATTAATGCTTTAATAAGTTATTTGTCTGTTTTTAAAAACTCACAAAAATCAATATAATTTAAAAAATATCATCATTTTGTAAATAAACCTTGCCAAAAAAAAAAAAAAAACAGACGGAGAATTTAAGCCCCATTACTACACTCATAAAAAACAATAAATGTATGCTGCCCTTTTGTTTAAATCAAATTTCAGTTAATGCTTTAATATGTTATTTGTTTGTTTTTAAAATCTCATTTAACAACTCACCAAAATCAATATAATTTCAAAAATATCATCATTTTGTAAATAAACGTTCACAACAAAAATAAAAAATACACACAAATTGATAAACTCCTTCTTTTTAAAAAAGTAGCAATGATGTGTAAATAAAAACGAACAAATTCCCACAGATACTTATACATACTTAATGTCCGAATTAATGAATTCGCAGCAAAGTTCCCGAATTCCCACGTTGCCTGAGATATTAACGAACGAATGGCAACCGAATGGAATACTTCGAAAAGGGCAAAGGGTTGCGCTAGAATTGGCAAGATTATGTTTTTGTTATACCTTTTTATTAAGGCATTTTCAAAACAAAAAATTAATTATACAAGCAGCTTTGGAAAGGATGGGGGCCTGAAGGAGCTGCAGATATACGAGGAAAAGCAGCCTCTGCAAGTTGAGAAGCAAGTTGAGAAGCGGGAAGCGAAGGATGAATAGGAACGATGGCTGGAAATCGCTTTTTAGAGACACTGCTGTGATTCGCATTTGACGCAACATTTGGGAATGATTTATTGACATAAGTATGAGTATTAGTTGATTAGGGTGCCACTTGTTGCGTTCGTGTCTGGTTGCTGATAAGCGGAAAAACATTTGCTTACGGCTTAGGTGTTAGGCTTTTTTCTAGTTTTAAATTATATTTGCTCGCCATTACCTGGCGAATGTCATGGTTCGTAAAAAATGGAGAGTGAGCTTTGGCACTCTTGATATTGTTTGTTTGGCGAACACTCTGCCTTTAAGTGTGTTGGGAATGATGAATAAAATGCAACCGTATGTTGTAAATAATCAAAATATATGATGTTTAAAAATTTACGAGTGACTGAATGCCAGCCGGCCTCCTTTCCCATTTAATGTGTACGCTAAATTAGTCGAGTCTTTGTTAGAACGAAACCATCGAATTGCTGTACTTGAGTTAATAATTGCAATTTAAATCAAAACTGATTGAACCGGAAAATCGTTTTCTGAAGAAAGTTATAGCTATAAATAAAATCGCTGCTCATGCTCTGCTTGCAGCGCTGCCCGCATCTGTTGTTGTTGTTGCTTATATATACACGTATATAAACACATATACACGTATATAAGACAAGTGATGTAAAAGTAAAACTGTACATAAACATGTCTTCTATGTATGTATTAAATAAATTTTCCTAATTAATTTAATAAATTAATTTAATTTTTTTTTTAAATATTTTAATTTTTTTAGTATTTTTTTAAATTTTTCTTTTTTGTGGAGAGTACAGGCTATTTTAGCGTTCTATCTTGTTTTAAATCAAATTAATGCTTTAATAAGTTATTTGTCTGTTTTTAAAAACTCACAAAAATCAATATAATTTAAAAAATATCATCATTTTGTAAATAAACCTTGCCAAAAAAAAAAAAAAAACAGACGGAGAATTTAAGCCCCATTACTACACTCATAAAAAACAATAAATGTATGCTGCCCTTTTGTTTAAATCAAATTTCAGTTAATGCTTTAATATGTTATTTGTTTGTTTTTAAAATCTCATTTAACAACTCACCAAAATCAATATAATTTCAAAAATATCATCATTTTGTAAATAAACGTTCACAACAAAAATAAAAAATACACACAAATTGATAAACTCCTTCTTTTTAAAAAAGTAGCAATGATGTGTAAATAAAAACGAACAAATTCCCACAGATACTTATACATACTTAATGTCCGAATTAATGAATTCGCAGCAAAGTTCCCGAATTCCCACGTTGCCTGAGATATTAACGAACGAATGGCAACCGAATGGAATACTTCGAAAAGGGCAAAGGGTTGCGCTAGAATTGGCAAGATTATGTTTTTGTTATACCTTTTTATTAAGGCATTTTCAAAACAAAAAATTAATTATACAAGTCGTTCAAAACCAATTTGCAATTTTCATCATAAGACAAACTAAGTAAAAATCATCCTACTTGTCCAATACATATATAACACTTATATCTTCTTAAGTTGTTTATGCGCCATTCATAATCTGTAAATATTGAACTGCTGCATTGCTGGCAGCATTCAGTTTATATAAGAAATTATCGTTTATTTAATCGCAATTTCAAATATAACTTGGAAAATCCTTATTGAATGTGAAGTTCCTTTATGGGAATGGCTCCCCTCGCACCATTTTCCATGAATATTTCGCTTGCCATTTGCCTTATCGGCTGGCGCGTGTCTTTTGCAAATTCTTAAGAGACTTAAATGCTGTAAATAACATTTATCTGAATGGCTTTTGAACAGAGGAGAGAGCTAAACAAAAAGCAAGACACTAAACCGAAACACACCTTCAGACTTCACGACTCCATGAATGACAAGTGCGGCAAAAGTCGAGCCACACAGCAACTCAGCAGCATAGGAAAACATTGCAAATACGTATAAAAAATATTTAGCACGGATTTTGAAAATTCCAACAAAGACAGACACTGCCTCGTGCGGGGAGTCAACAATTTATATCCGCGAAAAAAAAGAAATTGTGGGCAGAGGGCATGAAATTCAATCGTAAACAACGCAATCAAAAATTCATTCAAACGAAGCATTAACGCTTATTCCGTTTAGGCGGCATGTCTGGGTGGGTGGGGCTGTGGCACGAGTTGGTGGTGATGGTGATGGTGGTGGTGGTGACGGTGGTGCTTGCTTGTCCCACCGTCTCATTGTCAAAATGCAACAGGGCGGGTGGGTCCAACAGCACTCGGGTGGATGCTCCGCTCAGCGTTCGCTCAAAAGTCAAAAAGCGTGCAGTTCCTGTTTTTGTATGCTCGTTTCTTTTTTTTTTTTTTAATTTTCAATTTTTTCGTGCGTTTTGTGTTTTTACCACTTAGGTACATTTGTTATTTGGCATGCGGTACCTGCCACTTGACGCGGCATATTGGTAATCTCTCTGCTCTGGCAGGCCATAAACAGTTACCAGGAGTCGTCGAGGCTTACGGATCGGAGCATGTGTGCCTGCACGTCGCCTCATAATTTTCTATACAAACGCCATGTTAAATGGAACCACGAAAAGCCGCGAATAAATTTTTCTTCTGTGGCAACGGATGTACGACTTTGGAAGGACTGGGATGGGTGGTGATGGGAAGGGGGAGGGGAGGGGTGCATCACATACGCGTACCTGTTTGCATAAACATGTGGAAAGGACACGAGTACGGTTTGTAGTATTAGTATCTCCGGCAATAAATTTAATTTGCACAGAGAAAACAACGCAAATCCATTTTTTATGTCATAAATTCCCTCGCTCCCAAGTGGGTGCACGGCTCGGATTAATGGATGTGCGAACATGCTTCTGGAGTTACACGGATAAGTACGAAGCTACCTTCTATATACACCATATAATACAAAGCCTACTTGAATATAATATAAATGCCGTTCTAATGAGTTTATTGCCTCAAAAATTGAAATTTAAAATTACATATGAAAATAAAAAGAATCTACATTTATAATTCGAATGCCGGATTTACTAAAAGTGAAATGGCCAGTAAAGCTTTTGAAATTTTAACGATGTTTGATACTCGGTACATAAATCCCTAGCCAGATATTCAAAATTTTCAAATGTTAGTTTATGGGCTTACAAATTAAAAATTCGAATGCCGATTTTACAAAAAGTGGAGTGACCAATAAAGCTTTTTCGATTTTATTGATGTTTGCTACTCGGTAAATTCCTAGCCAGATATTCAAAATTTACAAATGTTAGTTTCCAAATAGTCGCTAAGCGCTGTCTCGGAACACAAATCTTAATATTTTTTTTTCAAAATGCTAATGGGAGAAACTATTTAATTGTAAAATTAAGAAATCCCAGTATGCTTTGAAGGTTTTCCCGATTTTGGAATTTTTGTGGAAGTCTGCATTGCGCATACTTGTAGTCATGTGATTAATATTTTAATAAATTTACAAAACCCATTGTTGCCAGCAACAACAAAGACTGTTTGAAATGAGCAGCCACTGTTCAAAAAAACGTTCACTTAAGAATATTGTCGCAAATGCACTTCAAGAAAATATCAGGCATTCCTTTAAAGTTATGGAACTATTAATGATTTGTCATCCTTTTTTCTTCTTAGAGCGAAATAAATTTAAAATTTACTCAATCTTTAGGGGATTTACTTCTGAAATTCAAACATGGCCTTATAATAATAATAATAGAATTGATGAGCAATTTTTTGTGAATAACTAAAATGTGAATAATAGCGCTTGGAAATTTTACAACATACATATATAGTATATATTTTTATTTATTTATTTATTTCATAGACAAACAATGCTGTCGATGTAAAAGAAAAAAAAAATCAATACAATAGAGAACTTAAACTAAATAAAACTAAAGAAAACAAAAATTGAAATTAAATTAATTAAAAAACAAGATAGAACGCTACAGTCGAGCAAGCCCGACAGTAAAATAGCCTGTACTCTCCACAAAAAAGAAAAATTAAAAAAAAAAAAATTAAAAAAAAAAATTTTTAAAAAAATTAAATTATTAATAAAAATGAATGAATGAATTAATTAATTAAATTAAATGAGAATACATGTTTATGTTCAGTTTTAACAGCATACATTTACATCACGTACCTATGCGTGTTTATATGCGTGTATGTATGCAGCACAAAGTTCAACCAAAGCAGCAACAACAACAACAGCTGCGGGCAGCGCTGCCGACAGAGGCAGCGCATGAGCAGCGATTTTACTTATGGCTATAACTTTCTTCAGAATTGACCTATCATGATGAAATTTGGCATACGGACACATTAGTACTAACTGGATGTACCTACCAAAATTGATTTCAAAATTCCGAGAATTACGGAAGTTATAAGAAAAAACACGAATTGCGGGGGAGTGGGGGGGTGCATCGAAAAAAAACTCAAACTCGTACTTTCTCGGCCTTAGGAGAATATGAAAACCAAGTTTGGTTATTCTAGCTCTTATACTTTCTGAGATCCTTGCGTTCATACGGACAGACAGACGGACTCGGCTTCTCATCCTGATCAATAATATATATACTTTGTGGGGTCTGCCACGCCTCCTTCTGTGTGTTACATACATGCGCACAAAACTAGTATAGCCTTTCACCCTTTGGGTACAGGCTATAAAAATTAGAAAAAGCCTTATAACCTGAATTCTTTATTGTTAATTAATTATAGAAGGACACAAATTGATGAGCAATTTATTTATTTCATCGACAAACAATGCTGCCGATGTAAAAGAAAAAATACAATAGAGAACTTAAACTAAATAAAAATAAAGAAACAAAAAAGAAAAAAAAATTAAAATTAAATGAATAAAAAATTTTAAAATTAATTAAAAATTTTATTTAGTTTCTTTCTTAGCTTATGTTGATATATGTATTGTTATTATATTTATACTATTTATCCTTAAAATCGATCTGAGTTGGATTTGTTTTTTCATTGATCATATGCATAAGTTATTTTTTAAATGCATCGATTAAATAATTAATCAATATTTTAATTTTTTGGCCCCCCCATTGGTAAAACCTGCCTACGTCCTTGATTATTATTATTTGCTTTTTAAACTAAATTAAATTGAATAAGTTTTCTAAGTTTAGATTGGATCGTACTAATTATTATGTATAGAGTTATCGGACATACTCATAAAATCAGAGTTTTGTTCCTATTTGCTATTATTACCAATTAATGATTGCGTTAATTATTGTTTGAACGACCTAGTGTTATTGGTAGACAACTAACATTGGCCAACTACTAAGAGACATTTATTAGTATTTTAATTTTGATATATTTTCCAGAGTTTTCAAATATGCCGAAACCTTTAAATCAATTATAGGCAGAATTTGAAAAAATATTTAAAAAGTTAGCATTTTTAACAGTTTTTCAATTAATGGAGATATATTGTAAATAGATTTAACAAGCAACATTAATGAAGTGAGCAACGTTTTGGACAAATATTTTTCATCTTGTATAAAATGTAAAATCTTGCTTTCACATTTTTAAGGAAAGTTGTTTTAAATTCGTGGCATATTTTTGTTGAGTGTATTAATTGTAGTTCGAGTCGAGAACACGCGTCGGCTTTGTAAGCGGCACTCATTGAATTAAAATCCCGCACACATAACTAATGGATCCGCGTCGTCTTATCAATCGACGCTCCCGCTCGTGGTCTTTCCCACTCTCGGATTCCCGGACTTACCTCACAATTGGAAACGCACTCACTGATCATGACTATATCACTACTATAGCGCTCGCTCAGTTTCGTTTCGGTTGTGAAGCAATGAACTCACTTCATAGGACTCTGTTGCTCTGCGGTTTATCTGTGTTGGTTGTCGAATCTGTTACTGAATATTGCGATAATGGCACTGGGAAGTGTGCGAGCTTGACGTCGGCGGATTGTCCGGTGATATTTTATAACTGGCATTTAATCGGGGACAGGGTTAAGTATTGTGATGAGTCCCGCGACATTGTTTGCTGTCCTCTACCCAAACATTCACAGAACCAATTGAGTGTTTCAACAGCGAATCGAATATCTGCGAGAGGTTAGCACAACATTCCACTAGCGGAAAAGCTCTAACTATCCTTCTATTATGCCAGAATGTCGGCGATATAGCGAAATTTGGAGGACTTGTGCTTCAACACCCTTCATTGTAAACGGCACCAAGGCTGCACCAAAAGAGTATCCTTTCATGGCCTTAATAGGCACCCGGAATAGAAATAGCTCCAACATTAGGTGGGACTGTGGTGGCACTTTAATACACCCCAAGTATATTCTTACAGCAGCGCATTGTCTGGAATCCACAGAGTAAGTGAATTGGTGAATCTTATCAATATTATGTCCAAATGTCTCGATTGCAGAACAAAATCCGAACGCTTAGATCCCGCTTTCGATTCCCCGAAATTTGTGGTACGATTGGGAGAGCTCGACTATAGCAGCACTATAGATGATGCGCGACCAGAAGACTTTGAAATTGTTAATTATGTGGTGCATCCTTCCTACAACGATGGCGAGGATGGCGCCCCTCTCAATGATATTGCCCTGATCGAGCTGAATAGAAGAGTTACCTTTTCTGAATATATTGCGCCAGCCTGTTTATCTTCGAGTCCAGGAAATGAGCATCAGCAGCTGACAGCAGTCGGTTGGGGACATACCAGATATGCGGGCACCCCATCAACCCACCTTCGAAGAGTGACCCTGGAACGATTTAGTGATGAGCAGTGTCATGAGCGGGTTAGCCAGACTATAGAGCCTCGCACACAATTCTGCGCCGGATCGCGCACAAGCAGTGCAGATACTTGCAACGGCGACTCTGGTGGACCTATATTCGTGCAGCATCCAGAATTTAATTGCCTCAAGCAGATAATTGGCATTACTTCGTATGGGCAGGTGTGTGGAACCCGTAATGTGCCAAGTGTGTATACAAAAATATACCTCTACATCGACTGGATTGAGAATGTTGTGTGGGGAACTGAGAAGTGAAGCCGTTTCGATTGTGATTTAAATCCTGTCTTCAATACTCTAGTAAGCTAGCCTGTAAGCTTCACTAAACCATAACTTTTTCATTAACATCCAATATTCAGATACGATCTTTAAGTTGCACATCCTATGTGCAAGCCAGACAGCTTTCTTGTTGTTTCCACTCCCAGGTGGCACCGGAAACTTGTTTCTGACCCAAAAGCCAATGCTCAGTCACTCAATCATAACAATTATTAATTATGTGTGCGGTTGCGGCTTCCCCCTCCCCCCCTCCTCAGCACTCTGCACTCTGAACCTTCGGGCTAATTTATTTAGTTTTGCAGCGTAAAATAAACTTTGCCATTCGCAAAGTTCTTGCGTGCGAGCTGGGAGGGTGAAGTTTGTTCTGTTTGTATTTCGCGGACCAGAACTTTCCATACACTATAGTGCTCTACTACATGCATGGGCATAGGCAGGATTTAGTCCAGGGGGGAACACATTTGTTTGGCCGATCTTTTTCTATCAAATTATTTGCACTACCCAGAAAACACACGAAAAAAATGGAAAAATAGGGAAAAATGAAATTCAAAATAATGAAAATGTCTTCATCTAAAGATTTCAAATGCAATAAAATTAAAAAAAAAATTGCTAAAAATAAGAAGATTTGTGATCGTGGAACTGATATGAAGTCGAGAGTGTAAAAACATTTGAAATTTTGTTTTCTTACATAAATGATCAATTTTTATATCAATATATATATATGAAATCTAGATGAATAATAATGGCGGCGGAACTGCTCTCAGTTTGAAAACAATTTATAGTACTTGTATCATTTATTTTCTAAAAAGAATTCGTATGCTTCTCAGTTGAATAGAATTCTTTTGCAAGCCCACCTGGAATGGGAGTCATATCTGGGGTCGGGGCAGTTATCAAAAGGAAGTTATGGCAGATAAAGAAATCTAAAATCATTTTGTTTCGACAGTTCAGAACTGAAACTGTATTTTCTTAAAAACCCACATTAAATATTATTAATATTATTCGTTCTTAAATCTATTTTTGTTGAATACATTTATATTTATTTATTAATAGTACATAAAGATTGTTTGTTTCATATGTAGTTAAGTCTGATATTATTTTATTATAAGTATGAAAAGAACCATTTTTAAATTAGTCGCATTAATATATATAGTAATGCCTCAGGTTTTGATGAAATCAGCGAACTGGTGGCCGCAAAAACAACTTCTTGCTCCGTTTGTCCCGTTGCCCAAAATCAACCTTAGCACCAAATATAGGCCTAGTTAAGAGTTATAAGTTAAACCTATTAACACAATAAAAATTCGTTTTCATGCCCATATATATATAGGTATATATTCTCAACATTATATATTCACAGCAATCTAGCTGATCAATTAAGCGTAGCCATAAAATGGATGTCTTTTTTTTCGTGATTTTTGCGGCACAAATTTAAATTTGTCTGCAACATTTTTGTTCCGTTTAGAATGAAGGGGATGGGGGGCAGCTGCCCGCTTTGCATCCCCTCGCTACGGCCATGACTATATGTAGTATGTGCACTCATTTGCAGCATACAAGCTATAGTTTTAGTTTGACTTGATCTCGATTTATTGACATAACATAAAGCACACACTGCCAATGACATTACCTGCGGCATTTCGCAAAGATTATGCTTCTACCCTCAAAGGTGGGGCTGAATATTTTACTGGATTTGGCGAAAATACAAAAGCCACTTTACAAATGCGCCTGGATGTGCCAAATTAAAGTTGTCATATTAACTAAATGGACGTTGGCATTCATTCCCTTTACATCGCAGCCACAGCCACAACCACAACACAAATACTGTGGGGCTTGGGGGGGGGGGGGGGGTTGGGGGTTGTCGCTTAAAAGCATCGCTCCTCGTTTTAATCTTGAAGAAATAACTTTGGCGTCGGCGATGATAAATCATAAACAGCCCCAAAGCCAGACCGAGGCCCATTCAAAGGAAGATGCTGAGTGCAGGACAGAAAGACTCAGACAGTCAGGCAGGCAGCAGGATATGCCAAGGCATACGGACGTGGTCTGTGGCTGGCATGCCGACGGACTTGGAAAGCAACAATATGTGAATATGTTATTTGTTTTGGGAATTGTGAAAATCTCAACAGGTCCCCGCACTTTGCATATTATTTTTAATACTCGTACGCAGCAAGTCGTGCGCATTCAGCCGTCTCACATTTTGGGTCAGCCAATTTCATCGTCCTGTTCTAAGAGGCCGCCCATAAGCAAATGAAGGCACATTTCACATATTTGCCAACACACTCGAGAGGGCAATATTTGGTAACACGCATTCATCCATCATCTCCATAAATATTTGTAAACATAAATGCGAGTTCAGTTTTCCTCAAAAAAAAAAAAAAACCTTGATTATTAGGGGATAATTATTTCGTCGCCAGCATGTTTGCAAATACTTAGTACCATATGTAATAGCCAATGGGCTGTAGGAAAGCGGGGGAAGTCAATTTTTTCCAATTCCGCTTGCATTTTCTTCACCTTTGATTATGTCTAATCAACTGTCTGTCTTTCTGTCCGTCTGCCTGTATGAACGCAAGGATCTCAGAAACATAAGAGCTAGAATAACCAAGGTTCGTATGTAGACTCCTCTAAGCCCGAGAAAAGGCAAGTTTGTTTATTTCTTTCGATACACCCTCCCACTCCGCCTCTATTCGCGATTTTCTCTAACTCACCCAATTCTTGGAATTTTTTTAAAACTTGGTAGTCACATCCAGTTAGTGATTATGTGTTCGTATATTAATTTTAATTATGATAGATCAATTAGAAAGAAAGTGGTAGCCATAAATATAATATCTGCCCAAGCTCTGCAGCTGTTGTTGTTGTTGACATAATTCTGTACTTCACACATATGTTTCCACTAATGTATTATTATACCCTGTACCCAAAGGGTACAAGGGTATATTAGTTTTGTGCGAGTGCACATGGAACACACAGAAGGAGGCTTGGTAGACCCCACAAAGTATATATATTCTTGATCAGCATGACAAGCCGAGTCGATATAGCCATGTCCGTCTGTCCGTCTGTCCGTCTGTCCGTCTGTCTGTCTGTCTGTCTGTCTGTATGAACGCAAGGATCTCCGAAAGTATAAGAGCTAGAATAACCAAACTTGGTATACAGATTCTCCTGAGACCGAGAAAGGACGAGTTTGTTCATTTTTTCTGATCCACCCCCCCACTCCCCCCCTATTAACGATTTTCTATAACTCCCGTAATTCTTGGAATTTTGAACTGAAATTTGGTAGACACATCCAGTTAGTAATTGTATATCCGTATACCAAGTTTCATTATGATAGAATGATTGGAAAGAAAGTTATAGCCATATAACCAGGCCCAATGCACACATACATACATATGTACAGTACACAAACACGCATAAGGCACGATTCTGATGTAAATGTAAATGTATCTATGCATGCATGGAATATTTAGTTAATTAATTAAATTAATTTAGTTAATTAATTAAATTAAATTAATTAATTAAATTAAATTAATTAATTAATTTAATTAAATTAATTAAATTACTTTTTTGTGGGGTGGTACAGGGTATTTAAGAGTTGAGCCTGCTCGACTTTAGCATTCCTTTCTTGTTTTAAATTAAAAAATTTAAAATCCACAATTTTTTTTTATTTTTTGGAGGGTTTACAGGGTATTTGAGAGTGAGCCCGCTCGACTCTAGCATTCCTTTCTTGCTTTTTTTATACTCTGTACATGAAATGTACAAGAGTATATTAGGTTTGCGGGAGCTGAAAAATGTAACAGGCAGAAGGAGGCGTGGCAGACCCCACAAAGTATATATATTCTTGATCAGCATGACGAGACGAGTCGATCTAGCCCTGTCTGTCTGTCTGTCCGTCTGTCCGTCCGTATGAACACCTGGATCTCAGAGACTATAAGAGATAGAGACACCAAATTTTGCACAAAGATGCGTTATGTGTGTATTCTATACGAGTTTGTTTTATTTTTTTGATTTTCCCCCCCACTTCCCCCCTATGGGGGTTTTCCCGATTTTCCATTCGTATAATCGCCTATATCTCGGAGACTATAAGACCTAGGAACACCAAATTTTAGTCCCAGATGCCTTATGTGAATACGCAGAAAATGTATATTTTGGAATTCCCCTCCCTCCCCCCTCTACCCCGCAAATCGTAACTCCCGTAATTCTTGGAATTTCGAACTGAAATTTTGGAAATACCCCCAGTTGGTTATTATGTGTCCGTATGCCAAATTTCATTATGAAAGACCGATTTAACAAGAAGTTATAGCCATAAATATATTTGCTGATGCAGCGCTGCTGCAGCGCTGCTCAAGCGCTGCCCGCGGCTGTTGTTGATGTTGCTGTTTGGTTGACTGCGAAAATGCTTACACAGACACGAATTGATGCGCATAGGCATACATACACTCACACAGACGCAATTGTTATGTAAATGTGCAATTATACACCCTTTACGTGAGTTCGAATACCGAGAGAGGTAAAATCGATCAAATTTTTTTTTTTATTTTCTTAATTTTTTTATTTTCTATAATTATTGTAAACATATGTACAGAGTATTTCAAAGTCGGGACACCCGACTTTAGCTTTTTTACTTGTTTTATTATTTAAATCATGCTTATGTGATGATTGTACCGCCGTTTTTCGAGCCGAAACAAACTCACATTTTGGGATTGCTGCTAGCTATTTTTTTAAAAACAAATTAAATGGAAAGTTAAATTTATTTCGATTTATTGTTTTTTTAAGTCTTATTTTTTTGCAGCACTTTCTGCCAGCGGTCATCAGCCTCCAGCCTCCTTAACCTGTTTTTAAGTCATTTATTTCCGAAGTAAGTTTTTTAAAAACTTGATAAGGATAATAAACCTTAATGACGAATTACTGTGAAGTATGGTATAATTGATTTACTGGGATAATAATATGTTAAGGTAACTAAAATATAAGATATTTATCACCTTTTATTACTTTATAATTCCTTTTTCGAATCCTTCTGCTATTTTATTTATTTGAATACTATTTTTATCAAGCAATGGTATTTAATAGGTAAAAGGGAAGGGGAGGATGTTCCAAACATCATTCAGTTGTACCTTTTATTTGGAGGAGCTATTTCCATTAATATCGCAAGCAACTTTGATTTAATTGTGACCATCTAATTTAATATTATTACCATAGTTAACTTATCTATGTATATATATCAAACTGCTGGTAATAACTTATTGGGATACAAAATAATGCTGAGCTCCACTAAATGAATACCACTTCCTTTTTTTTTAATCATTTTTTGTAAGAGTTTTCTCAAATGTAGTTGATGTAATTGGCAATCAATTAGTTGATAAATAAGGAGGTGCTCTCACATAATATATTAAAAATACACGAGTTTTTATATTGAACTAATAAGTATGTGAATAACGACAATATGTGCGAAGGAAATCTTCATTGTTTAAACAAAATTGTAAAAACCTGTTGCGGTTTCGAGGCATTCAAATTTCATTGGAGAAATTGACTTGTTCTGTGAAAACCGGAAAACCTGAACAATAAATCCCTCTCAATTGCACTTGCTATTGAAAACTTGAATGTCTTATTGAGGTATTTTATCACTTCTGTTTCTTAGAAGCTCACGATTAGGGCACGACTGGTTTATCAATCGCCACGTATCGTGCAGGCTTTATAAATATTTTAGCTGGAGTCCATTAGAATTGTTTCATACTGTTCTGGTCACTTAGAGAGAACCATATAAATGATGTTGGATTGTGCAATGAAAATGCTTCTAATGCGGTCGATGCATTATTCATGAGGTGCATGCAAACTGAGTTAGGGAACGTGAGTTCGATTGAACCGCCTTCCCAGAGCAAAGGACAAGCATGGATATGCATCTGCCGGTTTGTTTGCTTGTTCATCCGTCCTTGTTGTTCTGTTCCTGCTGTCAATGCTAGTTACTCAACCACATTCGAATAGACACACATACATATACAGGTATGTATGTGGGGCAAGGAAATAAGGAACCATGTTCAATGCCTGCACACATCCTGTTCGTGTTAAACTTACCTGTGCCTTATGCACAAGTTCAATTCCCCCGATAAACATTCATTCTGATTATGCACACATAGCCATAAATACATATAGAATTCGTACATACGAGTGGATATGAATAACACATTCTGCATATTCAAAGGCACTCGGAAGATGCCACTAGTACGAAACTCGAAACGAAACTCAAACTCAAAGGGCCGCAGCATTAAGAGCCAAAGGGGAAGATTCAATTAACCGCCTTACAAGGCCCACAATTCAAATGTCGATGGCACATTT